CATCATTTATATCTTCCCTCCACATTTCCCTTCAGCTCCGGCACATCTGTCCTGAAAGCAAGGCTTTGGGCCCCCCAAAATCAATGAGAAATAATTTACAATTAGCAATGATGTTCAATAACGCTGGAAGCTAAGCAATGCAAGCAGATCAGCAGATTTTCCCAGCTACTTGATGTGAGTCGCTCCGTGTCCTGCACTGCAAGCACAGCACCATTCAAACCACCTCCTCCCGGCTCACCCAGCATCGCAGCATGAGTTGTGCCTGTTCAGGAGCCTGCCCTGAGCCAGCAGGTCTTTCTTTGCATCTCTTTCACACGCTGCCAAAAGCAGCTTTTGAAGCATGCCGGGGCAACCCCTCTGAGGCTAGACCTCCCTTTGGTGCTCTTCCTCTCCTGACCTGACGGAGCCTCTGTGCCAACCACAGCTGTTCTGCAGGAGCACTGATCTCCCAGCCCTCCCCGAAATTTCTGGGTGTGCCCGGCCAGCACAGACTAGTTTCCCCAGCGCAGACTGGAAGAAGCCAGGCATCCCAGGGCATGGCACAGCATGACTCAGACCACCCAAAGACACAGCGGATGCAGACAGGCACAGGTTTGCTCCAACAGATTTTTTTTGGAAGGGGCTACCTCACCACAGAGCACCCATCCTTCTGCTGCCAACCCAGGCTAGGTGTAAACACCACATTGAGCTCTGAGAGGTGGAAGAAACACAACCGTGTTCCCATCAGCCTGACAGGATCCAGCTCTGCTATTCCTGAGCACAAAGCTAAGGGTAGAGCACCACAGGTTATGCTCTGTTTGCTGCTGTTCCCATCAACGCACCCAGCAATCACACCGGGAGGCTGAGTGCGCCCTAGCTTCAGGTGTAACTTGAAGCATTTGCACTTCAGGCAAACAGACATCCTGGGAAGTTAGGAAACGCACAGCCTCCTCCTCCAACAGCCTGGTGTAGCTGGTAATTCCTCCTACTGCACAACTGCATCCAAAATGTCTTCCAGGTACAAAGGAAAACGAAGGAATCACATATTTATTATAGCACTTGGGAAATACAGCACGATCACATCATTGAGCACTTCCAAGACTCACATTTCCTAAACTTTAATAATTTACTATTAATCTTTACAATTAATTTACTATTTAAAAAAAAAAAGACGACAACTGCAAGTTGATTTGATGGTTACCATTTGAATTGCCACTGTATCACCGTTCTCAGACTCAGAAACCAACTCACAAGTTACCCAAGGACCTGCTTTTTGCAGCTCTTAGATGCTCACTTATTAAGCTTTTTTTTTTTTTTTTTTTTTAACTGCACACTTGATACCAAAAGGCACAAAGGCACAGCACAAAAATCCTTCATGCAGGGCATTCTGCACGTGAGCAGATGGAAAGCATCAGTGTTTTCCAGTTTGGTCCTGCAGGAAGAGTTTTTCAGAGACTTGCTAAAGACACCTTGTTGGGCAAGAGTGCTTTTCTGGCTGTGGCTGTTTCAGGATTTGGCTGGTCCAGAATAAATTCTTTTTTAACATACTCCTACATACTTCATTGAACATACAGCCGCAAGCCCAATTTGGACCTGGAAAGCCTGCTGAGAACAGCCTACCTCCTGTCCTTTGTCTCTTTATTAGTTGCAAGAAAATACGCTCACAAAAATGCAGTGAGGAATAGCAGCAGGTAGCAGACAGCCTCTTTTCACTCCTTGCTGCTCAGCACACCGAGCAAACTCTGCTGTGCCCACAGCATTGCCCTCTTGCAGCTGATCCTCTCTGACCCGTGCATTTCTGCTAATCCAGTTTTTGGTTCAAATGTTCACAAAAGAGTGAACTCAACCAAATGCTTTGCTAAGGGTACCTCATCTGAAATGCTTTGCACGACCTGCTAGTTAAGGCTCCCAAAAGCCCTGCAAAGCAGGTAAAATCTCCATTTTAGATTTTGGGGAAACTAAAAGGCAGCACAGAACTGCTTCTGCTCCCAGCAAACGCTACTAAATTTTTAGCTTTTAGATCACGGAGGTTTGTCAGGGTGGTTTTACAAACACAAGGAGAAATCTAACTCTGGAAGCAGCAGCACACTGCGTTCTCACTAAAGCCTGCAGCTGCTTCACCCGCTTATTCAAAGCATTCAAAAATTGCTAAAAAATGTTTTTTGGGGAGCGCTGTGCTTTCAGCCCCCCACCTCCAAGCAGCATCCCAGCTGCCCGGTCACCACGCTCCCCTGTACCAGAACTGCCGTGCCACACACCGATAATGCCAATGCTACCAACTGGATTTAATTAACATCACTGTGAACCTCTTTTTTAATTATTATTTATTTATTTTTAATGTCACACACGGGCCACTGGGACAAATTAAATACAATCATTTTCTGCCAGCTAGGCAAATGGCATCCCCCCCAGCCACTACCTAATATCTGGCTAAATGAGAGGGAAGCCAGGCGACTGGCATCCTTCCTCACCAACTTGCTCAGTGCTCAGAGGCAGCAGCACCTTGTCAGCCCAGCCCAGAGCCCCACCAGCTGCCTCCCAGCAGGCAGGCAGAGCTCAGCTCAGTGCTGCTCGCAGAGCATTTAGAAATCCTTTGCTACAAGGGAAAAGGACACAGCGATCTTATCTGCCTGGTGTTCATTTTAAGTGGCTGAACACAGAGATAGCGGGCAGCCACCAGAGCCGACGCCGGGAAACGTGAGGCAGTGTGACTGTGCCGGGGCTGTCGGCTGCCAAGCAGCCTCTGGTGGGCTCACAGAGAAGCTGCACAGGCCACAGAAGCTGGCAGGACAAAGGTAGCAGACAAGGCTCTGATCAAACGCTTTGCAGGTGGGACACGGGTGCTCTGGGCGAGCTTCCCACCCGGCAGTGTTCTGTGGCAGGATAGAGTCAGGCTCTGGCCATCAGCTCCACACGAAAGCAGATGAGAGGCAAGTGGTGAATGATTAACAGCCTGTGGAAACGATGCCAAAGCCCCTCTGAAGACACATCGCACAGGTTCTGCCTCTGGGAAGCCTCCAAGGGTCAGGAGGCAAACAGAAAAAGTGCATTCCCTGGCCTCTGACACTTGCCCACGGTGGATGAAATAGGGAGCGTCCAGGGGCACAGCTCACACTGATTCACGCCTCCAGTTTCCCAGTTGCTGCATTTTTATTTCAAGCATCTGCAGGACCTGTTTGGGTAGAGGCTGTTGCATAGAGGCCAAGTTTTTTAGACTTCTGGATAAGGAACAGGGATCTGTAGGATCACCAAATGCATGAGCTATTTCTGGGACGCTGTTTGATCTCTGACAGCCCCTCTGCCCAGCTTTAGGATTCAAAGATTTCCCTTGCTGACTCCAAGAGTCAGGCATCCAGAATTTAAGTTTAAACTTGTGCTAATAAATGTGAGGTAAACAAATAAGAACCCAGGTTCAAGATGAGACTCAGAATCAACTGTTTTTTGTTTTTTTACCTGAAGTTATTTTTATTCATCAGGAGAGAATAATTAGGAAAACCACATCTCACTGCAAGCTCAGAAAACACTTCACCATAATTCACCCAGGATCTGAAATGTCACGGCATTGATGCAAGAGCAGAACTCTTGGACTTGATCATTAAGGAGACACAATTTTTCCCCCAGACAGAAAAGCAGCCAATTGCAGAAAAATGCAAAAATATTTTTTCCAGAGAAGCGCAAGTCACATGAGTCACCCTTACTTGCTGATGAACCCAAACCTGAACTCCGGCATCAGTCACACAGAGCAGAGCAGACCAAAAGCCGGCTGAAAACAGGCAGCTTGCCTTGGCGGCTCTGTGGAAGGGCAGGGGACTCGAGCAGCACACAGAGGATACGCACGCCTCCTCTTGCACAACACTGCCATTATTTATTACCTCAAGGAGTTCGGCTTCTCCTGGGAACGAGCTCAGGGCTGAGGGCTCTGCACAGCAGCAGGACAGCCATGTCTCTAGATAACCACTTCTCCCTCAGGGTTCTCCCTCCTAGTTCAATTTCAGGTTGAAATGGCACGTTTTCTGGGCTGGACGGAAGGCGGATGCTTTCAACACAGCCACACGTAACCAACCCCACAGACTCACACAGGGCACACGAGACCTGCAGCTCGAGGCTTCACTAGATACCACAACTGTGGGGACAATGCTGTCCCCAGCACGCACAAGGGGAAGCCCAGACACCACAAAACCCCGCTGCTGCCCTTCTCTGTGCCATGGGATCGCTGCAGGTCAGGACGTGGTATTACCACCTCACCACGATGTGGTCAGGTATGTCAGGAGAAGGTCCTCCATCCCAGCCACTGCCTTCCTGGGGGGTGGCACACCGTGGGACGCCAGCACGGAGGGACGGGAGGGCAAGGGGTGATTATTTCTCCCCGTGGCAAGGGATTTCAGTGGTAAGGGATGCCTCGCAGCAACCTGCGAGCAGGCTGGGATGTGGAGCAGAGGCTCTGTGGCTAGCAGCGAGCTCCAGCAGCAGCACAGCGGCACCGCCACAGCATCCTCCTCCCGAGGATTTCTAGGGCACGCAGATCCTGGAAACCTCGCAAAGCCTGCGAGGGGGAGCGAAGTAAACGCAGTTTAAAAAATACCAACAGAAGGGTAAGTGGGGGGAACTGAGAGAGAAGCTGCCGGAGCCGCACGCTCGGCACAGGCAGAGCATGAGGGGCTCGGGGCAGCTTTCCCCACGCTGAGGGGGGGTCCGATAGACAGCGGAGCTCCAAGCCCTCCCGCTGCCCAGCAGCACGGGCACGTTTTGCAGAACAGCCGGGCCACCTCCTGCCCCAGGGGCTGCCTCGTTATTAGCAGTTATTTTTAATGAAGCTGCCCCCGGAGCGGGGCGAGCTGCCGCTGTACCCGGGCTGAAGGGGACCCAACCTCCCCCCGCGCAGCATCGCCCCGCGCTCCCGCTGCCATGGTGACGCGCGGGCACGCCAAACCTCCCCCAAAACCACCCAAAACGACCCAAAGAGACCCCAAAACCCCCCTCTCCTCGCCCTGAGCACGGCTCCCCACGGCTCCCCACTCACAGGCCAGGGGCAGGCTCCCGTCCTCCCGGCGGAGCTCCGGCCGGCCAGCCGCCCTCGGGCCGCCGCCGCCCGCCGCCGTGCGGGGCTTGCTGTCCTGCCATAAGTAGTAGAAAGTGCCCAGGATCCAGGCGACCGTCAGCACGGCGATGGCATTGGCCCTCAGCCGCCTCATGCCGGCAGCCCCGGTGGAGCCTGGGAGCGCTGCCTCGCCGGGCAGCGGCGGCGGCGGAGGGAGGCGGGGAGGCAGCGTGGGGCCCCCCCTACCTCCTCCTCCTCCTCCTCCATGGGCTGGGGAGGGCCGGGTTAGGGCCGCCCCGCCGGGTCCTAACGCCGGCTGGAGGGGAGGGGAGGGAAGCAGCGGTGCAGTCCCGTAATGGAGACGCCCCCCCCCCGTGAACAGCCGCGCCCCGGGACCCTCAGGGTCCCAGCAGAAACGCCCCCGTGCCTGCAGGTCTCATAGCCCAGGTGCTTCGCTTCCTCGCCCTCACTGCGTCCCGCTGTTCCCACAGCGTTTCCAGGGTGGTGGATTTCAGGAAACGGCACAGAAAACCCCAAAAGTCGGAGTTTATTTGTAGCACCTGGGTAACTCGGCTTGCTGAGTACAGAAATGAGCAACAAGAAAGCATCCCGCACAGTATCACCGCTCCTTAACTCCCTTTGTTGATCATAAGAGAAGCCCCAAGATAGATGAGCTAATTCTTCCCTCTGAAAGCCCCAAACCCCTTTGGCTAGGTGTCAAAAATGAGCGTGCAGACCCCTGCCCAGAAGCAGCGGTGACAAACTGGAGCTGAAGGGGTTTCTCCTCCCTGGGGGCAGTCACTGCTAGCCACCCCAGGAGCATTATTTCCCCAAGCAAGGGGGAATAATTTCTCCAGCAAGGCCTGGAGAAATTCAGCCAGACCCGCCTGGCAGCTCCAGCCTGCAGCCCCACCAAGATCCCACCTCAGAGCCACCACATGAGCCACTCACACTGGCCCTGAGGCACCCCACTTGAAACAGATAAACCAGATCCACAGAGACCTGTTATTTAGGTCTCCAAAGCTTCAGGGCTTGAGCTGAACAGTCAAGGGAGTGCTGACATGCTAGCTGGCTGTCCTGAAGGAGGTGGCACCTGTGACAGCAGCAGTTCAGCACAGCCACTGCAGAGATACGTACTCCTACAACATTAGGTCTCTGAACGCCTTGAAGACATCTCCCCAGCCATATCTCATCTTCAAGGCCCAAATGCTCCACTGGCTCCCAGGCCCAAGCTATGAGTACCAAGGTCCTGTGCTCTGCAGCCAGAATTTGCAAGGATTTCACCTCCAACTGCAGGACTTTGCTCCAAAAATCTCACCTCTCATTGAAAAGACAGCATATTTTGAACTTTGTGATCATACAGGGACCTCTGACAACTCAAATTCTTCATGCATGGCTATAAGCTGCGAGGTTGTATATAGATATTGGAGACAGCCTTATCAGAAATAAGAGTACCAGAAGCAGCCTAGCAGAGACCTCAGTGCGGCCTCCAGAGTAGACATACAATGAATATTAAGTGACCGTGTTACATTGCTGATTTTGCAAAAGCATTAGATAATTCAATAAATACCTTTGTTGCCTAACAGAAGTGATCTGAAAAACATAATAAACTAAACAAGTCAATCTTGTACAAGCATCACAGCAGAATTGTGGGGTCTTACCACCACAACTGTTCTTTTTTTGTTCCCTCTATAGATGGGACTTCTATGTTAGAGATTTTAAGTCTTTTTTGAGACACAGTTCAGTTTTGTACAGTGGAATGATATAAGGGATCCTTTGACAGTTCAAGTGGCTGATTTGTTAGCCTAAGTATTTAGTGAGTAATCTTGATACAGTAATGGGAAGGAGGAATATTACCAACTATGTGGAAGAGGTTCATGTAGGGGGGCTGTTTAAGAACTTATTTTCTTTATAATCACCAAGGCCTTACCCAGCATCACCTTCAACAGGAAGGAATCTCCCAGAACCATGAATGCTGAATAGTCACGCTTGAGAATTCAGTTTTGTATTTTTGGGTGATGGCCTTGGTAACAGCTAGAAGAGCAAATCTGGTATCCCAAATTGCCCAGATAGAATTAAAGTGTTCTTCATCACAGAGAAAAAAATAATAATAAAGACAAGCATCATCTGGACTTGTCGTCACAAAAAGTAAAACACGGCTGTTTTATAACTGTGGTGCAGAGAACATGTTTATCAGATTACCGATGAATATAGCTGAGCTTTCAACTATGGAACATCTGGAGAACACAAAAGGGCTTTCCTTAGCACTATTCTGATCTGATAAATCAGGTCCACTATTTTTTGTGGCCTCCGGGCATGGAAGTGCCATCTCAAACACAAACATAAGGTCTGTCTAGACTCCAGAAACAGTTTAGACAAAGTCATCCAGAGTTTAGCTAATAACATTTAAGGAAAACCAGCATTAGAGTTCAGGGGCTGGAGCAGGTCACACAAGGCTGGGCTGTGCAGCTGCCCCCTTGCCAGACAGAGAGGTTTCACTGTTCCAGGCTGGCAGGAGGCACTTCCCCATCTGGGTGCTTCCTTCAGCAGTCGCTAGGGTAGCAAGGAGATGAGCAAAGAGGGAGAAAGGAGTGCGTAGCATTGTCCTGCGGGGATGTGGGCCCTTGCTCAGGGAGATGCAGCTCTGCTCTTCCATGGCCCACCAGACAGGCATGGAGCTGCACCTCATGCAGAAGTACCTCATGCCCAGCTGGGCTCCTGCCTGCTCACTGAAAGCAGTGCAGGCTGAGGATCCAGAAAGTCACATATCTTGAAGCCACAAGGGCTGAGGACACAGTCACAGCTCACTTCTCTGGAGCTCTCCATCCACAGGGCTTCCTTCTCTTAATTCACACTTCAAAGCCCATCCATACACTCAGCTGTGACAGCTCTGGTAGCTTTCTTAGACAAGCTCATCATGGCTCCTAGCCAAACCAGGCAAGCAAAGAGCAGCCCCAGCTCAGGAACTTTTCCCACAAAACCTCTCCTCAGAGAGCTCTTTCTACATGGGCAGAGCACAGTAACTGGGAGGAGTACAAGGCATCTCAGGGTGGTTTTCTCTGAGCTTGCTGCCACCAAGTGGCTCCTTCCTCCTTCTCCACTCCATCCCTGGGCTGGAGGCTCACCCTTCCTGGTGAAGCTCCTGCTCTCTTTGAGCAATGGTCAGTAAGCTTCCAGGTGCTCAAGCAGGTGCACAGGCATGGGTGAAAGCAGTTTACCTGCTGAAGGACTCTGAGCTCAGCCCTGGTTTCAGTTGAGGAAGACTCTTGGAAAAAAATCAGAAAGGGAGAAGTGTTTGTCCCAATGGGCAGGAAGAGCCATGGAGTCCTTTCCCCACAGCAAATGGGGAGCAGTCTGATGGTCTAACCATAACACCTCACTGTGCTCATCACCTGGATCCAAACCACCCCCCTGCAAGCCTTTGAGATGGGTTTACCCATATGGCAGTGCCAACATGGTAAAGTATGTGCCACCAGCCCTCACTGCCCGGGTTTGAAAAGAAAAATTATCTGCATTACTCATCTCAACTGGCCAAATTCCTAAACTGCCCCAAGTACTTTTCCAAAGAGTTTCCTCATGCTGGTCAGAGGTTATGGGTGCGTGAAGGTTTGTGAAAAGCTACATTGCAGTGCCCCAGATCATCTGTCACCCTGCACACCCTTGGCCTCAGCCACTTGCCCCACAAAAACACAAGGAATGTCAGAAAGTCTAACAGACCATCTTAAACAGTTAGATACCGTTCAGGCAGCCTCCAGCTGATCACCTCCACGGGCACCATAAAAAGGCCAGACAGAAATTACTCCCCTGGGAGTGGCTCCATCCTTAATTTATTCTGATGCCCAGTCAGAAGAGGCAGAGGGTGAATGCTGATTATTTCTGTGATTAACAGAAGATGAGCTCCGTAGGATGGCATATTTGCCAGCCAGGACAGAAATACCTTCTGGTTCATGGTTTCTGGCTGATGTCCAAGCAGTAAGGTGGTGGAGGGCAATGACCCAGGTCAAAGTTAGGGCAAAGAGCATACAGTTAACCAGGAATTGGAATTTTAATTGCTTTGTATTAAATTGCACTGTTAAGCATTCTCTAAAGTGGTATTTAAGGTCACTGTAACCTTAAAGTTATCTTCATGAAGATTTTTCTTAATGAAAATGAGAACAGAAGAATTCCCAATAAACTATAATTAACAGGTCTGCAATGCACTTGTGTTTCTCAAGAGAGAAGCACCTGCTGAAAGGCTAACCATGGTCAGATGAATCTCCTTTGAGAGTCTGAAGGAGCCAAGTCTTCAGAGATGGTTATCTGGGACACGGGACCCTTGGGAGAAGGTGCCATTAACCCTCTATGAGAAGCATCCTTCATGCAGTGAGGCTCCCTAGGATCAGTGTGGGGTGTCAAAAGGGTAAAGTGACTGATGGATTCTGGAGGGTGACCAGCAGGGCTGCAGACCTTTGAATCCAGGTTTTAGCTCAGATTAAGAGCAGCACTGTGGCAAGTAATGGTTCCCATTAGTGCCCCAAAACTGCACAAGCAATTGTTCCCCACCCAGCTCTGTGCTGAAGCTTGCTCATCTCTTGGGACGTAGCTCAACGCGAAGATCTGTTTTCTCTATGACAGAGGCCAGTCACATCCTGGTGCAGCTGAGCCTCTGCAGTCAGAATTGCACAGCCACATCTTTCAGCTGGGGCTCTAGAGACAACTGAGCCGATCCTGGGGCAACCCCTGGGCAGCAACTCAACACATCCAGGATAAAGAGGAATGCAGTTAGGGCAGAATCCGGCAGGAGATATCAACACACACAAAAAAAAAAAATCACTCTCAAGTAATGCATCCATCATGAGATCTTTTGAAAGTATAGAAACAAAATAAATATTTAAGTAGAATAAGCCATGTATTAATACAAATGATTAAACTAGAAAATCCACTTATAACCAACTTGATCAGCTTTATGAGCCTGACTTACGAAAAGCAGCAGAAGGGAGGATGAGAACTTATGTCCCTTTCTTGCCCCATATCATTTGCTTCTCTTACTTGCTGTATCTTGACTTCCCTAGGACAGGGATTTATTTCCCACCTTTATGGTAAAGCACGTAACACTTTTCTTGTGCTCAGAATTAATTAACAATAAAATCTCTTTATTACAATCTGATGACTATTTGCTCTCCTTTATTGGCAGCACATCACAGTGCTGAATGTGACCTGAACTGCAATTTAATCCTCATAGAAATTCTAAGCTTTTAAAGCTCAATATAGCCACCAGGTTAGTGCTCATAATAGCTCTCTTAGCTGCAAAGCAGAAGCAGCTTGCAGTGCTCATCTGGCACAGTGATGAAGCTCCAGTCTCCCACTACAGAGGATTTCCAGACAAAAACCACTGCAGTCTGGGAAATAACCTGTGAAAAATATCCTACCCAGTTTCTCACACATCCCATAAGAGCAACTCGCATCGTGTGCAGCAAGCTGGGTTCAAATCAAGTGCACTGAAAAAATGCTTAACTTTCCTAAGAGTCGCAGCAACATACATATTTTTGAAGCTCCATCCCTCAAAATAACCCAGACAATTAACAGAACACTTCTCAAAACATTCCAGCCCTGGCACCGAGCATGAGAAACCTCAGGCTGAGGGAAACAGGAGCCGTGGATTTGACAGCCCCAGAGGCTCCACAATGCCCCTGATACACAATCTTGGCCAGGTAGGGTCCAGACCCACCTCCAGGTGGGAAATGGAGAGGGAAAAAGAAAGAAAGAAAAATGTTGGAATCTGGAGGATATCAGGAGCAAGCATCCATCACATTAAGCTGGGGAAAATAATAAAAAAAAAAAAAAAGGCAGAAATCCAGCATGCTGGTGCTTTCCAGCTTTTTGAGCTTGCAGGCAGAGGGGCCTTGCAAACTCACCCCAGCACAGACAAACTCTGTTCAAGGGCAAAACACGGCCACCTCAGCAGAGCTCAAGGCTCCCTCCCAAGGTCACAGGATGCCCCTTTCTGTTCAGCTGCCTCTGGCTGGCAGTAGTGCAAGGAGGACCAGCACAGCACTTCCCATCTGCAGCACTTTCAGTGCCTGAGACTCCAGCCAGATCAACGCAGCACTGAAGATTTACCACTTTCTGCCTTTTCTTCTTCATGTTATATTGGAACATCGTAGCTCACGGGAAGGCAGGAGTAAGGGATTTCTGGGATATTTATTGAAATCACAGCCTCAGTGGAACCACAGCCAAGGAAAACTGCCAAGCTGAAGCTTTCACAGAAGCCGAGCTGATGTCTTCTCATGAACTTTATGAAGTCTTCCAGCACAGAGACCCCTCGTGCTGGGATCACAGAGGTCCAGCCGCTTTGCAGAAGCTCTCAGCAATGACAGCTCTGCCCAGCACAAGTTGGGTGATCCAGCCCCTGCACAGGTGCCCCTCAAGGCCCTGCCAGTGGTGGGACAGCAGAGGCTGCATGTGAAGCATCCACCAGCACCTTACCCAGCTGCGTAGAGAACTTCTCATTCATTTTGTCAGGAGCACTGGCAGCAGCCACCTCACTGCAGGCAGCAGGGTCTCAGCACAGGTCCACAACCTCCCTGGCAGCAGCCTGAGACAGACACCGCGAGGCTCTGAGAGCACTTGGCCCTGTCCAAATCCCATGGCAGGCACATGAGGCTCTCTGATTTCCAGATAAGGTCTCACATGGAAAAAAAAAAAAAAAAAAAAGATTAGGAAGTGCAAACATGAGGGCAAATTTCCTTTGAAGCTCCCCAACACCAGTGTCTGAGGAGCCAGCCTCACCAAGACAATACCCTGATGCTAGGGGATACCTATTACAAAACATCCCAAAGGACTGGGCTAAAAGAGTAGCATTTGGTCTTGCTGTTCCCACTAGGATCTGTTCATGGACCTACAGCCTATAACCTGTTATAACATAAACCTATAATCTGTTAGTAGTGTCTGCAAGGTCCAACACTTCACTGTGTCCTTCACTGCTGCCTTCATGGTTTTGTCCACTCAGCCAGCCTCCCCTTCCCCAAACTGAGGTATCTCAGACTTTGTTTCCCCTTTACAGGCAAGGTGCCTGACCATTAGGAAGCCATTTTTATAGCCTGTATGATACAATAAGGTTACCTAATAGAAATTTCTTTGCAACATTAACACGGAAAGTCAGATTCACATTCTTTAGTAATTCACATTTTAGGACAAATGTTTTCCCCCTAAAGAGAAGAGTGCTTTATAAGTGCTGAACAAAATGACCTCCCCCACTCTCATGTAGAAGAGAGGAACAAGAATTACAGAGAAAGAAATTCCACTGTTTAAAAAATGACCCCTCATTTTTGCTCGTAATTATCTCCAATACCTGAATGCGAGGCTTGGCAATAAAGAGCTGTCACTGCAGGAGCACAGCAGCCAGAAAAAGGAGTGAGAAATGGGAGGAACTGCTTAAGCCACTGTGAACAGAAGCAATACTATTTCATTTGAAAGCCTGCATGTCTACAGAGATGCTCAGCACATCAGTGCAGCTTTTTTAGATGCAGAGATACATCAACACATGAGCATAAGCACGTGCACACGTGTTTCACACACTCAGATTAGTTCCTAAGTCTAATCTGAGCTTCCAGCAGACACCGCATCCTCTGCTGCTGGCTGAAGACAAGGAAAATCTCTCCCACAGGAGCTAAAAGCCATCACAAACCTGACCATTTCTGTTTGAAGGTCACAGCAAGATTAAAGAAATGTGCCATCTCCAGAAAATATATATGATCACTGGTGCATGCAGCTCCTCTCTAAGCGCGTGCACTGCAACATACTTTGCTCCGTGGAGAGAGGATGAAAAAGGCTGTGTGCAACAATTGCAATCATACTGCTTGATGGAATACTGGAGAACACTTACGTGTTATTTTAGCACAGTGAAGCCTACAAAGACCAAAATAACCATACTGATAGCCCCCTATTCCCAGGTTTTACATCCCCATATAGAGATGTGTGCAGCCTCAGCCTCCTGGGAGGCACACCACCATTCATCAGCATGTTACCAACATTTATGCTCCGTATCCCAGCTCTGCCCTTCTTCAAGCTCAGACCCCATTGACACAGCACCACAAACACACCCCGTGACTCTGCCCAACTGAGCAGTAGCCCCATGCCCACTCCTTCCATGGATGGGATGCAGCTCATCCCAACAGTGTCCCCAGGGCAGCTAGGCAGGGACCAGTGAGCACAAAGAGCTGAGGAACAGCACCATTAGCACAAGAGAAATGCTCCAGAAGGAACATATAGAGCACAGAAAGCAGCCTCCACTTGCCTTTATCATTTGGTGCAGGGAGGAGCTCAATGAGAGGCAGCTGTGGCCAAAGAGGACAGCTGCATCTTGTAGGGCTGTTTGGTCTCTGCCAAGCTCTGAAGGACGGGTTTGCTTTGACAGATTTCCAGCCCTCAGAGATCTCTGCATCCCAAGAAACATAATCTAGGATAAAACAGATTTTATCCGCTTTATTTTTTATTTTATTTTATCTCTCCTGCTCTCCAAACATCACATCCTCATTCATCTCTGAAGGCTGTTGTGCAAATAGCCTCGTTGCACTGGGAGATTTGGGCAGTGGTTCCACTTTCCCAGCTCTAGCCCACCTGAGACCACTCTCACCACATCCCTGAAATTAAACTTTGAAGCCTAACTCTAAAATTTACTTCCCAAGCCTGGGCTTTCCAGCTGTCCCTCTCTTTGTGTCACCCCCCAGGGCATTTATTTTATTTCCAGTGTTTGGAGCGAAACCAAGATTCAGATTTAGCATGGTTGGTAGTACAAGACCACAGATCTAATTTCATTAAACTCTGCCCTGAACAGGGGCACCAAGGAGAAGAGCCACATCTCAGACATCCTGGCTGGGAGAGAACATGCTGCAGCTAACTGCATCTCAAGGAACGGCCTGAGACTAAAGCCTTTCTGACATTTGTGAGGGAAAAACTGCTTCTCATTCTTAGGGGATATAAATAACAATGTTTGTCAAAAAGGAGACATGGGAAAAGTGGGAGAAAAAATGAAACATGTACATTTCTGAAGGATGAGAAAGGAGATTTGTTTTGTTTCTCAGAAACACTGTTACTAGTTGGGTTTTAGGAGCTTTACAAAAAAAAGTATCTGTAAATTGAAAAGTGAGCTGCTCAACCCTCCGTCCGTAACTCTTCTTTTCCTTGCAGATGAGCAAATACACCAAGGCTGGGATGAGCTCCCCAGGGCACTGCAGGGGGCTGGGTGTGGGAGTGAGGAGAGGCAGGGGTCAGATGTGAAGGTAGAACGAGGGATTTCAAAGAGTTGAAAATTCCTCCACAGAAGGGATGTGGGGAGATGGGTAAACCTCAGGGCTTGTCTCAGTGAGCCACTGGTGTGGGAGAGCAGCAGCCCCCTTCCCATGGACATGCACTTGCCAACAAGCAGAAGCTCAGCCAGCTGTGTGCAGTGTGGGCTACATATTTTGTCTGCAGGCAGCCCTACCCCTACTGTTCCAGTCCTGTCATCACATCCCATGCACAAGTTTAATGTGAGCCCTACTTGGCATGGCTCTTCTCCTGATCTCATCACTGCTCCTAAATCCTTAGGATTCACCTGAATCTGGAGGGGGCCTTAGCAGACCTGGGACCAGCTCACACTGTGATGAAATGGAAAATGCTATGACAGCTGTGGGACAAATCCATCCCAGGCAACCTCTGCGGCCTGTGGAGCAATAGTGACACCCTACCAGAAACACAGGGCTTTCCTTCAGCATCCTGTGCGTCCACCAGACACAGGGGGGCAAAAAACACTGCGAGGAAGAGAGACCTGGATAAAAAGAAACAGATGGAAAAGGATGGAGGTTTGCTGAACAAGCCAGAAGGAAGCAACCATGCTCAGAAATGTAAAACCCCAGTCCTTAATGGACAAGGTGAAGCAAACGCTCCACTTTGTCCCACCTCCCTCCTTCTGCTTTCTGCTACTCCAGGTCCTTCCTTGCACCTGGATTATAAAAAAGAGCAAGGAAGGGCACCGTACTCTGTTCACTAGCAGAAATCTAACGCTGTCACTAAATAAAGAAAGGCTGACAGCTTTTTATGACACGAGAAAGTGGAAAATGAAAGGTCTGAGACAGAAAGCGGAGAATGACCAACGGGCATCACAGTGAAACACGTCTGGCAGATCTGGAAATGAAAGCCCAGCCTCCCGGAGCCCGAGGGGGAGCTGACAGAGAGAGCACTTGGAGGAGGGATGTTGTGCCTGAGGGGCAGGGCAGGCGTTCCCCCTGCTGGGTGTCTGAGGCCTGGCGAGGAAGAGGCAGGAGGCCGCTCCTCACATGGCCGCTCCACACCACAGGGGTCAGCAGGAGGAGGGAGAAAGCTCTGGGCTCTGAATTAGATCACATCCATCTAAATCTGAGTTTCTTTTAAATCATCTGCAAGAGAAATGATCTGTGATGGCATCAGACTGTTAGGCCTTTGCCCATTCGTCATGAGCTGAGGCCCACCCAAATCTCCACTCAGGGTTAGGCCACAGCCCACTGCAGCATAAACGACAAAGCCTGTGGTTCATTTTTGGCTCAGACATTTCTTTCACTAAGAAAATATTGGAACCAGTGACCTGGCGCTTCCTTCACGGGCTGGCCTGAGGCTGACTCTGCACATTTGTTCAGGTGCCCAGTTTTTGTCCCTAGGCTGGGCAGAAGTCGATACATGTGCTGCAGGCAGTGCCCCTAAGTTTGGAAGGGCTGTCCTGATACTTCTGGTTTTGTCATTCCTTGTCCTCGGCCCACACGTCAGGCTTTGCTTTGGGCTTACTGAAGTAAAGCATTCACAGCTTCGAGCAGGATTCAGAAGAGAGTTGATGGATGGTGAGAAACGAAGTGGGACATGGACATGCCTGAAGGGAAGCGCTTTCTCCCCCTCTCTGAAGAGTGTTCAGATGTGGTTCTGAAAGTCCTGTTCAGCACTTGTTCTCAGTAAAATACCCCAATCTCATGCTTTTTTGTGTGCTCTTTCCCCCACCCCAAGCTACGGTGCTGCAGGTGGGAACCCTTTTTTCCAAGACTTTTACTGCTGCACTTCAGGATGCCCTACCACAGCCCCACCTGTGGAGACATGAGTTCAGCTACTCTTTCAGGATTTGAGGTGTCAGAAATGAGACACCTGAGCTTTATGGCAGCTTGAAAGCACAGGATTTCCCTAGGGAACCATCTGATGGAGCAGTGACACATTTCTGACATTCATTGTGTATGTTTCAGGTCTCCTTGATGTGAAAGCAATGGGGAGCAGGAGCAAAAGGTGAAATCATGAGGTCAGTGGTGGGTACAGTGAGAAACAGGAGCTCGGCTCCTCAGGACTGTTCTCCTGCTCCTTCACTCCTGAGGCAGAGGGCCTCGGTTCTCAAACAGCCTTCCATAATTTTCTGGGGGCACTCCAATGCCTGGCTCATCTGCAGGCTCCTTTGTTCAAGTCTGCTGGGCTACAGCAGGTCCAGGCTGCTAGCAGGGCATAAATGCACCTAGCCAGGAGCTCAGGGCAGGGACACAGATTTATTCTCAGAAGAGAGAGAGGAAAAAAAAAGTATTTACTCACTATATGTTTTCACTGTTAAAAGAAAGAGAAGCTTGTTGATACACAAGCACTACTGCTTTAATATACTGACAGCAATAAACCAGTACAACTCTCTCAGGATGGACACAGCTTCTGGATTTGAGGTGTTTATAGCACTGCACTGCCAGGGGAATAAGCTATAACCACATAACAGGCCTTTGTACACTCCCCCCTTGACAGCAACAAATCAAATTTCAGTTAGATAAAGAAACAAACAAACAAACAAAAAAAAAAAAAAATCCACCCCCAATCAAAATAATAATTAACAGCATGTAAGCAAGGTCTAAATTTCTGGTTGTCGTCAGCAGACAACGATGGGTCCAGAGGGTCCTCTTCAGATGGCCTGGAGCAGCGCAGCGAATGAGTCACTTCACACACCTCGGCGGGCATTAACAGCCACAGCTAGTAAGGACCATTGACATTGAAGCACTTCACTGCTAAATACACGGCCACGGTGTTCGTCAAGCCTGAACAGATGACATCCATTCGTCTGCCTCCTTGCAATTACCGTCTACCTTCCCAAAGGGCTCTCCATCGAGTTACAGAAAACAGAGCTCCTCAAAGACCAACCCGTGCGAAGACCCAGAAGATCTTCCTTGCAGAGCGCTCCATTAACTCACCGGCTGTCCCTCTCTACAGGAGGTCTTGCAGCCAAGCAAGCCCAGGCCACCCCCGAGCATGGGGCACCCTGCCAGCCCTCCTGCTGCTGCTTTAGATGAGGTGCTGGACCCAGGAGCTGTGCGGTCTGCAGGCGAGCATCCCGTACTCCTGTATTATGGAGTAGAAAAGTGGGCTTCTACGTTAAATACCAGCACAGGCTGTTCTACGTTAAACACTAACATAGTTTTTTCCCCTATTTCTGAAGCTGCATTCGCATCCTTTTGCCAAGACCATTCATCTTGAATCTGCAAAGAGTTGGCTATCACATTTCTTGGTGATAGGAGACTTGCTAAAACAAAACACCTCTCCCTAGCTCCTCTCAAACTAACACAAGAAATATCACTCAATTTTTCTCAGTCGTCCCTGAAAATATCAAGTGTGAAAAACAAACTATCTAGAGAGAACCAAGTTCTCACTGCTGACTGCTATGGCCAGATAAATTATCCTGAACTAACTGGACTTTGGCTTCAGTCCAGCACAGCAACTCTGACATCCTCATCCTTGTCCTCAGGGATCATTTGGGGGTATTTTTTCCTTTGTGCCTCTTTTTATTTTAATTTTTATTTATTTAATTTTGCCTTGTACACCACACCCCACTGCTTTTGGGATCTCCCTTTGCTCCAAGCTGATTTTGTTTTTCCAGGCTTTTCCCTTTGTATGTGTTCAAGACAAAAGTATAGTCCTGTAAGGATAGCAGTGGGATTATCATCCTGGCTTTACTGTGTTCCCATCTTTATTCCAGCACAATTTGTTTCCGTGTACAGCAGTTCCATTTAATTTCCCAGTAAAAACAAACAAACAACACAAAACAACAGGGATTTATAGAAGAATAAGGCTAGCGAAGTTACTGACTCCATCCCCTAAATAAAGTTCTGAGATTTAAGAAAAGAGCAAATATTTAGCGAGAGAAAGTTTGTTCACGGCTGGAAGGGTGGTTTTTGTATTTCTTCTCAAGGGAACAGGGATTTCTGGAAAGCTACTAAGTTACTTTAAAAAAAAATTTGGCTCATGGGTCTTTTTTTTTTTTTTTTAAGCATTTGTCTGGAAGAGCAAAGTGTGGTGCTAAAACACAGTGAGAAGAGCTAAGGGGAGGGAACACGTGCCAAGGTCACGTCCGCAGCGGTAGCAATGGCCAGCTGCACAGCAGCGATATTAAACCTCCCTCTGACACAAGATCCTGCTCACAGCTACTTTTTTAGAGCTATAAAAATCCAGAAGAGGCACACATTAATTAGAGCAGTTCACAGAGGAGAGCTGCGTGTCTGTCTTGGCAGCTGGTGACTGCAGGGCACGTAGTGAGCATGGGAGCAGAATGGCCATGCACAGAGCTAGCTGGAATATTTTCATCACCTCCGGGTTTGTCAGTACAGACAGGGGCAGTACAGATGGCTTGCAGCTGGGGAGCCACTCAGAGCACTTATAAGGAAGAGATGGGACCTCTGTCAAGAAGCAACATACACCATAAGGAAGCTTTTCCTCCTGACCAGACCAAATCTCCTTTTTGTTGGCATTTAAGGCCATAACCTGCTGTCCTAGCTAGAGCAGACTAGAAAGCTGACCAGGAAACCCCCTTCCTCTTCACCACAATCTTCTGTCTCCTTGTCCCTTAGTTCTTTATTCCCCCCGAGCTCAGTTCTTCTGGGCTGTGCTCAAAAACCAGATTTCTGTGCCGGTGTCCCCTGCAGAGCACAAGACTCACTTTCCAGAGCTTCCAAGTGGCAGCTTCCAAGCAAAAGCACCTATCTGGGCTACCCTTGGCTCCTTTCCCTCCAAGGTACAGGCAAAGAAAAGCTGTTTGAGGTCATTACCCAAGCGCAAACCTGCTAGCTGCAGTAATTTCTCTTCCTTGTCCTCCAATGCAGTCCCCCCGAGAAGTTAGCTTTTACTATAAACCCTCTGACTAGCCACCGCTGGCACTGAAATACCTCCAACCAAAGGATGCTGGCTAGCAGAACCCTTTTTTTTTTTTTGTGACTATTTCAGGTGAGCAAAATAAAGATAACACACCTTTTTGGTGGTTTTTAAAGCATGGTTGGAGACATCAGCTCTTCCATCTATCTCCCTGTACTTACCTCGGCTCCTTTGTGGTTGCAGCAGAACTTCTGCACTGCAAGAGCACCCTCCAGTATTTCAATGCAAGCTGCAAACCTAGCAACTTAACGCCTAGTGGGTATTAGGATTCTTAATCTAACTTCCAAGGCAGAGAAAAAAGATACTTGGGTATTTCTGAGGGTCTAATACTCAGCACCATCTAGTGGTTGTCACCTATGCCTATCCTGCACAGAACACGCACAAGGCATGTTTGATTTACAGCAGCTTTCTCCTCCAAAGGCAATTTGTCAAGAGACAGGCAGTCTAATCTGATATTTTCCAGGGCTCTGTAAGGATTTCTTAAGTTCTAATCTTATTTCCTGGGCTGACTCTCTTCCTAGTGAGGAGATATTTTTCCTGCGGGAAAATATCTGTAAAATGGAGCCGGTCTTTAAGACATCTGCAAAGCGCTATGAGATGTGCAGCTGAATAACATCTAGAATTGCTAGCCATATATCACAGGAGAACCAGAGGGGGGAAGATGTGGGTGTAACGCTTGTAAAACATATGGAAAACATTATCCAAATGGCAAAAATCTGACATAAAACTATATGCACAAACTTACAGCTCTGATTTGGGTTTTCCATAGCCATTGCTATACAAGTAAAGATAATGCGTTGTGTTTTTTTTTAATCCACAGTGCATTTAAAGGAGGTCCCACTCTCATTTTCACAGCTTGCCACCAGCAGTCGGAGTCTCTCTGCTTTTATTTATTACTAAACATCCTGGATAGAGTTGGGGCACAAAGGAAAAGACGAAGAGCAATTGACAGATCTCAGCTGATGCAAAGTACCGTTCAGCATTTTACAAAGGATGATCAATCAGAAAGCACATTGCCGTTAATCAATGTGATTAGAGATACATGTCAGACCCCTACAGAGCAGACCACAATGCAAAACAGCTTCTTAGAGAAATGCATTTTTGTGGAGGGGGCTTGGGGATGCAGTTTTTCTCTTAAGCCTGCAAGTCAGGCAGCTGCCTACTACTACCTTTTTCCCAGACTTGTCACATTCGTGCTGAGATATATAAATGTCTTCTCTCTTGTGCTCCTCCATCACTACACAATCTTCCCATTTTTAAGCAAAGAAAGATAGAAGCCATATTTTGTACCATCTATAGCTGAAGCTGGAGTTTTTCCTGTACAAGGAAATGGTTTCTTATTATCTGAAGATGACATCTCTATTTTACAGTAAAAGCCCCAGTCCTATTTTTTGTTTTCACTCCTCTTTTCTTCCTCCATCTCCAGAACTGGACTAATCCAGTCCCTTTGCAAAAAATAATAAAAGAAAGATGGTTTTGCTCTGTTTCCTGGCGACCAGCACTGCTGAGACACTGGGTAGTATCACACTGCCTAATTCAAGGCAGAAATGAGCACGGTGATGGTTAAGTGGGAAGTGAGGGTGCAGCACTAACCTTGGTGCAGAAAATCCTTGCCACAGCTGCCTGCAGTTCATGGTGCAACTCACAGTGAAAGAAAAGCCTGCTCTGAATACAGAGAATTACGTCCCACGTGTGCTTATTTGGCTGATTTTTTATTGTTATTTTTCCTTAGTAAACTTTACCATGTTGGCTCTCCAGCATTACCCTCTCTACCTGTAAAAGCACGTAAAAAAATATGTTGATGCTGGGCTAATACAAGAGGGCAAACTGTGGCTCCCCTAAAAACTCCCAGAGGAAGCAGGATGCTGTCTTTGCACTTATCTTGAACTGCCTCCCCCCTTTTCCAAAACAAGGTGAAAGGAGGAGGTGACCAAAGAGTAAGTGATGGAAACTGACCTACTGCTTCAGACTGGAGGTGCCTCTAAATCACACTGCACAGTGGCAAGGGCTGGTGGTGACTCCTCATTAGAGAGGCTCCCTCTGCATGTGTAAAGGTCCCAGCTCCCCAAAGGCACCTAGGCACAGGACCTGGGCACTGAAGTACTTTTCACGGGTGGTGGTGGTGGAGAATGACAATAAAACAAAAACTGTTACAGACAGTGCAGAATTCAGATACTCCCTAGGGAGCCAGAGCAAGAGCAATGCAACAGGAAGATGGCTTCGCATCCCTGGCATTAAGGAGCACCAAATGCAAGAAGCCCATGGGGGTATGTTGTCTTCAGTCCCTGTCAGTCATGGGATGTGACAGCTGAGACCTTTAAAGACAGTCAAAGGAGGGAAATCAAGGCACTCCAAATGCCATGTCTGCCTACAGAATAATTAACGTGTCACGTGTGGTCTGTTCACAAGTGCAGCACTCGCTGCATCTCAACCACCAGACTATCGAAAATTCTGCTCACCCAGTACTTGCTGCACCATGTAATCGTGCCAAAATTGCTGCAAAGCCAAGAAAAATGCAAAGTGTAGTGTTTGGGAGGGCAGAAGTCAGTTTATATCCCGTGCAGGAAGGCTAGCTAACATACTACCAGTGCTATTGTTGCTCCAGCTCCAGAGGAGCATCTCTGGAAACACAAGCCCAGTCATATTCTTAGAAAAGTACTGAGTAAACCATAGCTGCTAGGGCAGCAAAAAATTCTTACCTCAAGGCTTCACAGCAGCATTACAAAAATTGAAGTTATTTTGTCATTATCCTCTGGAGTGGCAAAATTTCTTGTGTAAGCCTGTGCAGCTGTAAGAACAAGGGGAACAGGACTGCAGGCTGACTGCCCTTAACTCTTTGCTTTGCCAACTTCCTTTCAAGCCTTCCTCAGGTCTCACATGGAACAGAGGGAATCTGAGAGCACCCCAAGCACATCCAGTTCACAAGGACAAAATGCCTTACATGGAAAGGACTGAGGCAAAAGCTGCAGGGCATTCATAACCCAAGGCAGGTTTTGAGGACCACAGCAACTGGAGGATGCTCCCCACTAACCTGCACAAATCGCTCTGAGGCAGGTAGCAGCAAATGCCAGGTAAAAAGGAAACATTCTCTCCCCATCTCTGGCAGCGTACCTCGGGCAAACTCACAAGCACGAAGTGACAAGCAACTGAAAGAAAAATCCCTTGTTGTGAAAGCCAGCCCACAGAGAGGCACAGGAATTCTCTCCCTCCACTGAAAGCCTGGATGCACTGTTTATTGCAGGAGAGTCCTACCACAGGTAAGATGCTAGGGGCAACCTAGGTGAGTCCTCAGATTGAGCCAAACCTAAGATTTATTTTAAAAGAGGCAGCCAACACGACTGACCAACGTAATCAGGGCAAGGACAGTACCTGAATCCACTTCAGAACAATTCAATTCTTCCTGAGCAAACTTGCCATTACATTGCTGAGAAGTACAGTATCCTGGTACCTGGGAGGTCAGCTGGGAAAGGCACTGGCAAAGGAAATCCAGATGATGGACTCACAAGGACAGAGTGAGACACAGAGACATAAGAGAAAAAACAGGCATGCAAAAAAGGAAAAAAAGAGCTTGACTGATGGTTAAGTCTGGTAAAAGAGCAGATTTTTACTGAATGTAACAATGAAGACATATGTAGATTTTTAATCTGTAGGCTGGTTTTGCTCTTCCTCTGACCACTGTACATTCCAGAGCCCAAGCAACTCTACAAGGAGGAAGCAGTGTACTCTGAGAGTAATGCAAGTAATCAGTACATTCTGACCCTGCCCGTAGAACTGCTACTACCCTGTAAACCAGCAAGTGTTCCTGATAACCATACGCAAGACCTATTGAACAGAAAAAGCAAGCATATTCTATTAAAAGGCAAAAACATTTTAAATCACAATCATATAAAAATAATTAATTTCTACACAATAAATATAGCATTTCCCGCCCCTCTTTCAGGTTGACTTAAAATCATGCAAGTTAAGGCTATCGTTCAAATAACAATGAAGAATATTAGCTAAGAAAATACTTACTGAAGTTTTCCTTGCAAACTCCTATTTCTAAACAAGTGATTTGACCAAAAAAAAAAGTTCTTTAGTGATACCACCAACTCCTTAAGTTTAGAGGACCCTTAGTCTAATTCCTTTCTCAACATCATTTTCTTTTCTCAGTAGACAGAAAAGACAACAGCCCTGTTTGTACCTATGGGTTCCTGTAAACAAAGACAGCTTTATCAGGAGTTCATGCATCAGAACAAAGGGAGAAAAACAGAGCAAAGAAGTGAGAGGGACAGTTTGTACTCCTGATGGCTGAAAAGGGTTTTCAGAACCATGCAAAGAGCTCTCACCACACTGCCTTGCTATAAAGACAGGAGATAACACCACCTGAACACATGCTCAAAATGCTTTGGCAAGAAGTAGTTACATCCAAGCTCCTGCTGTAGACAGGAGGTTCTTGCTGAGATTACAATCAGCTGTGTGAAAGAGCACAGTGACAGAACACATCGGCTTCATCAGTTTTTGTCAAGACCTGTCAATGGTGCAAGAAAGACATAAAATTGCCCTTATAATGAAAATGGTCTTGTTTGTGGCTCAGTGATAAGTACTATTTATCACAAACCTTTGATTCCTTTTGATCGGACTGCTTCTGCAGCTCCTCTGGGATGACATTAACGCACAATTTCTCCATGGCTCCTACGCATCTCAAACAGGCTCTGCTACAAACGCGTTTTTCAACCCCTGGCCTGGGAAATTTCTCAAATAATCTGATAGAGGAGACTTTCTACCACAATCACAGCAAGCCCAATAGCATTCTGCCCAAAGGTTATTATGAAATATGGGTCAACTGTGCTACACACAGCAGCGTGAAGCACGGTAAGAGTCTTACCAAAACTTCTCCGCAGAGGCTTATAGAAGTTGAGCATAGTTTCATTCAGGAGAAGCACAGTCATCTCATGCAATCAAAATCATCAAAAGTGATTTCACAGAAATGGATATGTACTTTTTAAAAGTTGTATTTTAGCTAGGGTCTAACACCAGGCAAAAAACATGTCTATTTATGAAAAGTCAAGACAGCAGCACAACTTTAAAAACAACAATAATAATTAGCACACACTGGCTCATGTTTTTAAAGCATTTTACAAAAATCTTAATTAATCAATCCTCACAACACCCTTGTGAGATAGGTAAGTATTATTAGTCCCATTTTAGAGACAGGCATGGAGAGAGTATGACCTGCTCACCACCACACAAGTCAAATCCAGGAACAGAACACCAGATTTTCCAGTTTCCTGCCACACATGATCTGACCTCTTAAAAGATGCTGGTTTTTAATAAAATTTGTTTCTTCTCATCCCTTTTAAGACACCTGGCCGCATTTCACTCTGATGTGAAAAGGTACCTGCTGAGAGCTACTCAGGATAAACAAGTAGAATTGGTAAATCTCTTTTTATTTTTTTTTTGTAAACAGACTCTGAGCCGCTGGAAACTGTTTAAAAAACCTGACATTGTCACTGCCACAATGCCAATCTTATCCTCAAGCACCAGGACAGTGAGGCCTATCTGGAATGCCGATACAGCTCAGAATCTGAAAAGAAAAATAAAAATAAAGGTAAATTCTTTGCTACTTCCAAATAAGGAATCTCTCTAGTGGGTAGTCTTCTCTGAGAAGAACTCGTGTGAGTACAACTGCACTGAAAGCAAAGAAAGATTTTTATCAGGAGATTCTTGAGGTGCAGCCAAGGTGTATATATACATCTCTCAGAAAACCTGGAAACGTGTACATATTGTGCTCTGTGTTAAAAGAGATGGCCTGGAGGGACCAGACATCCCGGGGGTAGAAAATAACTCCCAATAGTCAACTAGAGAAGGATAATTCCCTTAGTATATCGCTCTTGCACTGAACTAATCAGTGAGTCTAGGATTAAAGATTCCAAACCACCTGATAAAATTCAAGTCAATGGATTTAACTCCTTATAAATGCCAAATCTGGCAGACCCACTGCTGCCTGTTCACAAACCCAGGCTCAGGTGTTAGTGGAGAAACAGAAATAAAAACACTCCTTCCACCTTCGGTTATGCATGTCCATTACATCCTATCTAGAGTCCAGGAAGTGACTTTCATGACAGCTCGATCTGAAGATCCTCCCCGTACTTTCGGATCAGCTTTGTGTGGTTATGGTCCACTGACCACTGCTCTGGGAGGTATTTGGGCTGCATGCTGTCCAAGAAGTGCTGCCGCCAGCGTCTCTCCAACTGCATCAGGGAGCGCAGGCCTCCTTTGGCAAAGCACTGCACCACCTTCAGTCCGTGTGGCATGTAGCTCTCATTGCAGATCCTGCCAGGACAAAAGCAGAGTTTATTTTCACACAAGCCCACTGTCAGACTCCAGACCTGTCTGCAAGAAACAGCAAGGCACTGAAGATGATTTCAGTTGTGCTGTTTAATTACAGCCACATGGTGTAAGCTAACCAGGAGGGGAGCCGGGAGAGAAACTTCTAAGGCTTGCTTCAAGGCCAGGCTGCTTTCTGGAACACAGCTACACCGGAAGGCTGGCATCTTTGAAATGAGTTGAGTGAATTCTTTTATAACAATACTAAATAAAGCTCTCAAGGCCCATTACAAGCTCCTCAGGAGACAGACTGCCAAATTCTCAAGGCAAGAACCACACGATATTCCAGAGCTCTGACCCTGCCATTGGATTCCCTGCCTGGATAGGCACTGAGATGTTACATAGGAACATCACAAGCAAAAACAAACTTAACAAGGAGAAAATACTGTCTTCATGCAGACAAAGATCAGATACTAGTTAAGAACAGGTATTTGGTGAGACTTAAAGACAGGAGACTTCTGGTATGATTGTCTTTCAGTCTCCCTCCCCAATCCATCCTTCAAAAGGAAGCAGCAAATAGTAAAGGGGAAGAGGGATGAGCAAGAACAGAAGGAGATTGCTGGAAGAGAAATGAAAAGAGAGAAAAACAAGGGCTGCAACCCACAGACCACTCCCAGCACGAGGGGAAAAGAGGATAAACAAGAGCACAATAAGAAGTCCAGGGTATGACTGTCTGCTTAGAGCCTTAGGATACAGCACAATTACCTTCTTTCTCTGCTTTCTAGTTAAGTGTATGAGTACTATAAATCCAGACTCTGCAGGCTTATGCAAGCATTAAAGTTGTGGTTTTAGGGGCTCTTTTTGCCTGTGCAGATCAACTTCCACCAGTCTCAAATTCAGAAATTCCTTAACTTTACACCATGATTTTATGGAAGGTACAATCATATCCCAAGGAATCCAGCAATAGGTCTTATTTTCATTAAAAAGCTTAGTGGGAAAAAGCCAGCATGTGTGATCCTCGGCTCTGCAAACGCTGCTGGATTTTATTTTATTTTGCTCCATAAATATTTACCCAAGGTTGTGTGTGCAGACGCCCTTTTGTTGAATTTACATGCTCACATAAACAACTAAAATGTTACATCTACTGCTGGGCTTGTTATACCTGGTTTCCAGAGCAGCTGCTTCCTGGAGCATCTCCGGGGTCACCGCTTCTGTGTTAAAGAAGTCCTTGATGCCTTGCAGAAGTTCTGCCCTTCGGGGATCAGGCAGGCTGTCTGCATTCAGCAGAGCTCGGGCCCCTGAGCGCACCTGCCTGCGCAGAGGGTCCTCCAGCATGCGCACACCCTCCTCGGAGCCAATGGGGGCACCAAACTCCTCAGCCAGCTGCTGCTTGAGGTGGTTGTCGTAGTAATTGGAGACGGCGTGGCAGGATGTGCAGAGAAGTAGCACATCATGGGAGTTGTGGTCCTTCATCTGGATGGGGAAGTGTCTTCGGTATTCGTGAGGAACAATGTTCTTCCTGGGGAAGACAAATGAGCCAGCTCATTACATCTGCCTGGAGCTGCTACTCCCCGATTTCTCCTCTTCCTGGCCCACAAAAGTACAACTAATAATAAAAGTGCAGGAAAACAAAGATCAGCAGTGCCAGGATTCTCAGTGCACCACAGAAGTTTCAGAAATCCCTCATCTGTACTTCTCTCTCCAGGTTTTCTACATTTCTCTTTTTAAAGAAGCACACCTGCTACTTAAACAGCAGCAAAGTCAAACAGCTCACCTTTTGTAACCTCATAAAGTTCAGGCTCACCTAAGCCTTCCAAAAATATAAGGATTAAGTACTGGAAGGCATAGCATATTTATTTTCAGAAGAGAATGCCATCAGAACAGTATGTGTTTGCTACTACTGCCCCCTGTAATTCAACCTGCAACACAACGTTCTACCCAAGGCAATTTCTCTACCCTCTGTAAGAGGAAAGGCTGACCTGGTCGGTGTCAAACTTACCCAGATACACATGACCAGAGAGCATTCAAACAGTGACAGACCTTCTAGGATGTGAACAAACATATTTCAGCCCACTAACCACGCTTCTGGATGCTGAACTAGATGCAGACTTCAGTCTTATTTTTTGTTTTTAAATTAGACGTAACTTTTTCTTACCCCACTATGCAACTCACCGGATGTAGGACTCCCGTTTGCCACATACAACACACAGGTTCTCTTTGACTGTCAGATAATAATCGACTTGAGACTCGGGACGTCCTGAAGGCTCAAACCGCAGCTTCACAACAAACGGGTCTGTGCTAACTAGGTCTGAAAGAGTACAGGCAAGCAGAGAATATTCAAGACAGTGTTGTATTTAAAAGCTAGGATAATGATGCTAAAACAAGGTAGACATCCTAACAGAATTTTCAGTAAGAAAGGATAGCAAAAAATCATGCCCAGTTATCTCAGAAACATGAAAAAAGGCTGCATTTTAAATATCAACAGGAAGTTAGTGTGCTCACCTCCAATCCCCTTGTCCAGATACCACTGAGCCTTCTTGCGATCGCAGGTGCACAGAGGCTGTCCATCTGGTGCATGCAGGAAGCAGTTGTCATACAGTGGAGATTTTCTGTGAAACAAGGATAACATTGCAAAAACTATAACAACATGCCAGAAAAACAGCTCTCTACAGTGATGTGTTCCACACTGCAACTCCTGCAGCCTCATCCAAATCACGGGAGGGAGAGGAGCCCTTAAAGACATAGTTTATGCTGCTGAGCACTGCACAGGCTGCTGCTGAGGGAAGCAGAACATCTAAAAATGTATCTGAGGTTCATGAACTGACTGTAAGGTATCTTTGCTCTCCTGATGCCAACAGAAGTGCTAACTCTGAATCCCAGTTTTCAAGAGATACCACTAATGACAACAGTTTTCCAAAAAAAATTACATTAGAAAAAAATAAATGTAAAGTCAAGAACGAAGATGAGCTCCAAGCAAGCTGAAGGAGTGTTATCAGCCTGCAGACAAAGCCATTTCAAGAATCAGCTACCAGCTAACTAAGCCCATGTTGTAATGATTTATGAAGATGACTTTTCTAAAACTTAGTGTGAACAGCAATTATTTCATTCATCCAAGAGCAACATTAGGAAAAAAAACAACCCTTGGAGTACTGGAAATTCACTCAGTATTCGTTCAATTCACTGAGCATTCACTCAGCAGAGCTCTACCAGCTAAAAAGACTGATTCACAGGCCATGTAATCTAACAAAATGATCTCTCCTGATGTCAGTGGGGGGGTGTGGGAGTAAACAAGTTGTAATGATACAGGAGATCTCTTCCCACCAAACATCAGCAGTTGAGCTCAATCACCATCATAATATGAGTGCTTCCCAACTCTAAATTAATAAACATTCAAACATGCTTACAGAAAGGAAAATAGAAAAGGACTTCTGAAATCACATCCAGCCTTACCCGAACTGGACTGCTGGAGATACTGCAAGAAACAGCAGGTCTACAAATCTCTCATGAAATCAAGCATGGTTAAAAACAATAAATAAATAACCAAGCAACCCATAGAGAGATATCAGTTTAATTTGGAATTCAATTGTTTAAATTTTAATCCTCCCATAAAGTATAGTCCTTCTGTTTTGTATGACACAGGCTCCAAATTAAAGTATATACATCTGAAGGGACTTACTGTGTACAACGCAGTATTGTTAATGACTGCTAGTGAAATCTATGTTATTGACTACAATACAAAGGACTCTGCTGCCAATCCTGTAAACTCCACTGCCAAAAAAGAGGAGAAAGATACCAAAATGACTTTTTTTCTTCCCAAATAAAGGCGAAGGTGGGGCAGGAGGGTGTTCAAGTTCCTACATCCATGTGATTAATTTTATTAGAGTGCACCCAAACATAAACAAACATACTAGTTCTCTGTGTTTCCCACTACGCTGAGCTTAAAGAGATCACTCCTACTTGTTTCATCTAAAAACAAATGAACCCACAATAGCAAAAGGCCATAATAATTTAGCATTTGTCCCACAGAAGAGCCTGCGGGCTGGGGATCCTGAATCCAGCAACAGTTGCCTCTGCAAGGGCCAAGTAGAGCCATTCCCTGCTCCCTCCCTGGCATAAGGAGAAGCGCAGTGCTTTGATGCTGCTACAGACAGTCCTCCCTGCACTCCCTGGCACCTCACATAATCCCTCTCACCCCTGGTACTGGTAGCTTTCAGGTCTGCTGTCCCCTGACATCTCTGTGACCACAGGGACCTGGAACAGCACAGTACGAACACCAGCTCACAGGACAATCTCTGTGCAGCTGCCCCCTTTTCCCTGGAGGAGACAGGGTTCAGCTGTTTGGAAATGCCACCCAGACAGCCAGCTGGCTCCTGCTGGGCCTCTGCTCTTGAGCTAAAGCCTCCATATTGTAAGGGAAGGTAAAAACTGAAGACCTCCCCTCAATCTATTATGTAGTACAGACCTAAGTTCCCCTGTTACTTCCAATAGAGAGGAACTAGGAAAACAGAAATAGGATCTGGCTCTCATGACTGTTTGGTGCTGTGTCCCTTCCCAGCTCTTATTGTCCTCTTTGTCTAATAAGTAGAGCAGGAAGTATCAATCAAAGTTTTTTCACCTGTGGTGCAAGGAGTAAAATTTGCTCACAGACTTACCTTGCAGAATATCCCACACCCAGAGGCTTTCGCTTCTGCCTCCGAGGATCTCTCACTTGCTGACTGCCAGAAGACTGAACATTCGCAGAAGATTTCCGATTCTTTGTTTTCTGAGGGGAGCGTGCCACTCCACCCTTCTCTCCTGCGCTGCCACTCCTCCTCCCTCTAAATGGGATATCCACCAAGCCCTGGCATTTGCTCAGTACTTTTTCCCAAGTAGCAGCAGAGTTTTCACCGTCAGATACAGCAGGGAGGCAGGCAAATCCCAGCAAATGGAGGAACAGAGCCACTGAGATCTGGGCATCCCTAGCAGCATAGAGAACCTGCAGAAAAGCACAGACGCTGGGATACTGGCAAGCAGCAAACACTCCCCCAAACACCATCAGTCTTTAACACTAGATTCAGTAAAACCAGAAGCTGGATTTGTTTTCCCTTGTTCACTTTTGGCACAATGCCTACTACCGTCCAATGTGATTATTTATCCTGTCACTCCCTCTACTGGTCACTGATTTTGTAGACATCTGCAGCATGACTAAAGAACACAAGCAATTAGGGAAACCATGATAGGCTAAAGATGGTGAACAAGGTTTCCAGGGTCTTTATCTGATATTGCACTGACTGCTATAAATTGGAGGAAAGAAAACAAACAAGTGAGGCTTTGGGTGCACAAACCGCTGGTTCAAGGGGTCTGGCCTTACAGATCTTCCAGGATTAAAGGAAAACAAGGGTCAAGAATCCAGAGAGAATGACAGAAAATTGTCTTCATGGAAAAGGAGGGAAACTCAGGCAGAGGCTGAAATGGACTTCAGATCATAGTCACACAGAACTATTGAAGCAGAACTCAAAGAAGGACAAGATCTCCCTGTTACAATGCCTCTCCTCTAATAAGAAGTTTGCTTTTCTTCCCAAAACACAGAGTTGAAGTGGAAGACACACCTGATGTTGTGTCAGTTCTTCTGCCTCCCAGTTGCTGCAACGCATATGAGGAGACTTGTCAAGCGGGCAGTTCAGGACTTTTTCAGCTAAGGACTTAAGGCTAAGGCAGTTGTGAAGTAGATCCTTCCTTCAGTTTTAACAAAGAAAGCAAAAGAGGCATATTAAAAATGAAACTAAACACTCATGCAAATTTAGGCAGCCTCACACAACCTGGTTCTGCCAGAACACAACGCACTTGATGCACGACTCCCACTCAAGCAGCATACAGGCCCTCACCCTCCTCTCCACTAAAATGTCCGACCTAGATTTGGTAATTACCTAGTGTCTGCAATATGCAAAACAGGCAAGGCTGGGAGCTGGTAACATCTCAGGCTGAAGTATCTGGCTCTTAGATGTAGAGCTTAGGGATATGGTTTAGTGGGGACTGTTAGTGTTAGGTTAGAGGTTGGACTCGATGATCTTGAGGTCTCTTCCAACCTAGAAATTCTGTGACTCTGTGATTCTGAAATAGAGAGGTCTGTCACAGAGTGAAGGACTGTCTGCCCCTAGGGATTCATCAGCCACTTAATAAACAAGCCTGGAGACATTTTCTGAGGAGCATGAGAACCAGGAATGATTCAAGAGGAATCCATCCTCAGTGCTAAAAAGGCACCATCAGGTCACCAAATCCATGCCCCACGTCACTAACAATGCACATATACTGAATATGAAGAACATTCCCAAGTAAAACTTTTTTTTTTTTTTTAAGAAAGAACAGAGGATGGGAAAATAGCATCACAACTGTAACCTATAAAAGGAAACACTGATATTAGAACAGAAAATTGGAGCTAGTTGGGTTTTTTTAGCCATTTTTCAAGAAATCCTGTAATTTAACAGTTCCACTTAAGTGCCACTCACACTTTTACCCCATAGTTTCAGGCAGTGTCTTCAAGCATCTGTTTACATTGTGAGCTCTCTGACCGTCTTGTATCACTCTGCCTGGACTTCTTACAAGACAAAGCAAGATACTCTGAAAAGCCCTTACAACTATTACACGAGAAGACAGACTGACACAATTAGCATTCATGATTTCATTTCCTTTAAGGCCACAGAATACAAGCCTGCCCACGCTCTAAAGAAAGTGTCCCATCCCAAGAACACCAAACCTACCTGCCCGACATCATCCAGCACACACAAATTACTTTTTAATATTTCAAACTCAAATGGTGTACTAAAAACAGAGCTGCCTCTGTCTTCAGAGGCTTACCGCTGTCTCATGGCTAAATATCGGAGATCCACACTCCCTTTTACTGGAAGACCATAGTCCTGAAGTAACTTGCAAGCATCTTCCCAGCATCCCACCCCTACTTTCAATACAGCACTATCTGCCATGATGTCCAACAGGGTCTTTGGGATAGTCTGTCCACTGGCAACGAGCCTGGGCAACCGGATGAGAACACAGAAGCCACTGGAAGAAGCCATTTGTAGAAGGGATACAGGATTCGCTTTTCCCTCCACAGATACCTGAAATAAAGGTAAAAATCACAGCTGGGTTACTAGCAGTACTGCAGCTAGACCAAATTGTAAAACAGCCCACCAAAGACAGGAAATACTTACCAGACTATGCAATTGAAAGCTTTTCCTGCACAAATTATGTGATTTGTTTCACAGTATTACTGTCCCACAATTACTTCTTGCTACAACCTTGTGAGAGAAATTTTCCTCCTTTCACCCTTGCCCCTCACAGCTGGGCTGGCAGGAGCAAGCAGACACATTCCTTAATCCACGTCAGCACTACAAAAGTGTTTATAGCACACTGCTTAACTGCAGCTTGTACCAATGAATGTGGGGTGAATAAACTTCCAGCCAAAATGATGGCGAAGACAAGCTTCATAAATGACTCAAAGTCTGTTCCAAGAGCTCACATAGGCAACCATACAAGCAGCAGATGAATGCTGCTTTCTGGTATGCCCACGGAGGTCTATCTTCTTATCAGCATTATCCTCCTCTTCTGGTTTATTAATTTTAAGAAACTCTTTGGTACACAGATGGACTTAAAATACTGTAAATCCGAACTATTTTAGTAAACTACATGAAAAGAGGTACTATATAAAACATATGGTGCTATTTAGCCATGTAATTATCACTGCACGTTTAGAACTAGATTTATCACAGAAGTTCAGCAAACAAATGCAAGCAGCAAACTAGAAACTTACAGCCAGCAGACTTAAACGTGAGAACAATCAAAACTAGTGGATAGTTCCCTGGTGTCACGATAGATAATCACGGTTTCGATAGCCAGCCGAGCCGTGCCCATTCCAGCAGAGGCACAGCTCCTCCCTCGATGATTCCCTGCTGCGATTTGCAACCTGGCGGAGAGGCCCTGCGCTCACTCACCCACTCACAGTCGATCCCAAGCACCGGCCGCTGCTCCAGCTCCTTCTTCAGCAGGGGCTCGACCCGCTCCCACTCCTCCTGCTCGGAGACGACCACGATGTCCGCACCGAGGCTCCTGTGTGGCCGGGACGAGGCGGGCGGCGTGCCGAAGGCAGGCTCATCCTCATCCTCATCCTCAGCCTTCAGCAGCGCCTCATCTGCCGGCCCCCTGCCCTCGTCCCCTCGCGGCTGCCCGCAGCTCGCTGTCCCCCTGCGGCGCCGCGCTGCCCTCCACAGCGCCAGGCCCCCCACCGCCACACCCAGCAGGGTCGCCACAGCCACCGTCACCGCCGCCTGCCTGGGCATCCTTATCCCCTTCCCTGCACCCGCTCGGCGCTTTATCGCGGCCTGCGAGGAGAAAGCAGAGAGGTGGCAATCAGCGGCAGCTCCACGGGCCGGCCCGGCCCCGGCCTCCAGGCTTCGGTCTCGGCGGTCCCCGCACCGGGCAGCCCCGCCGCTACCTGCGGGGGCTCGGCGGCGGGCGGCGGGCTCCGAGCCTGCCCCTCAGGAGCCGGCGGCCCCTGGGCGCCGCCATCTTGTAGGGCCGCTGAGGCGGGGCGGGCGGCGGGCCGGCCTCCAACCCGGCACCGGGCGCTGCCGCCTCCAAAATGGATGTTTTTGGGGTTAACTTGGCTACTTGTAGCGTAATTGTCACAGAGGGGAGGAAGGGCTCCCCAGGAGAGCTGGCGTTGAGCAGGCGGATCGCCCGCAGGGTGCTCCCAGAGGAGCAGGGTTTCAGCAGGACGACCCATCCATCCCCTACAGCTCACCCTAAGGAGCGGGGCTCAGCCCAGGGCAGCGAGATGTCAGGTCTCACAGGCGATGGGATCAAGTTGGGAAAAGTTTGTTTTCCATGGAGTGGTCTGTTTTGAACACACACATGCTTTAGTAACAGCATCTGTATCTTTTTTTTTTTTTTTCCGCAAAGACCCTCAATCTTGCTCTGCACCAAATAAATTTATATCCACTTTGATACTAATCCTCCGGGCTCTACAGAGCAGTGCAATTTTGCACGCTGTAGGAACACACCTCTTGTTCCTGTTAACTCTCCCCTACAGGAAGAGGTGTTTGTTCCTCACAGCCATACCTGGGCCACAGCTTCTCCTTCCATCCCAGATCCAATGCCCCAGACCCAGCTGACAGCTGAAATGCACATCACAGGGCAGGAGGCTACGGCTCTGAGCTCATCACACAGCGCAGGGTATGCACAGGAGAAAAAGCTGGGGTGGCCTGGCTCTACCTCAGAGTTCCCACAGCCAGATGGAGATCTTCTTCCCTCCTACCCTCGCTTCATTCCCCTGCCTCCCCCAAATTGTACAATGCTTTGTGTTACATGGTCATTGTAACCAAGTACAGACCTGGAGCACTGCTTGGATTTTACCACAGTTCCCGTTAAACCCGACTGACTGCTTGCTCCCTGCTCCCTTGCTCCAGCACTAGCATTTCCTTAATGACAGGGGCACTGATTCAGGCAACTGATCCACCTGTAAACTAGTCCAAAGGGAGAAAAAAAAATAACATCTGGGGTCACTGCAGACTTATTTCAGAGACCACATAACCAAGTCCCGAGAAGCCTCTGTGACTGCACTTCAAGGTCCAGCCACCCTGTTGGGTGCAGGCAGTGCATCTTTAAGCACTTTGTCAGAGGCTCAAGCTCAGAATAGTGACCAAATCTGAACAAATCTGCAAAGTTTATTCATAGCTGGATCCATTTGTAATAAACTGACATCCACCCAGAAAGCTGAAACAGGTCTTCCCTTTTACAAAGTGTTTATTTCGGTTTCTAAGGTAATAGGACTTTTGTGTAAAGAGAGGAAAAATAAAATATCCTAGCACTTATTACACAGTACAGAGAAAATATGATATAATGTAATGCCCAAGCCTTGCTTTTCAATAATAACAGGATTGTATCCTTGGCTGCACCTAAAGCCTGTGTTTTTCATGCTATCACTGGTCCTGTAAACCACAAGTCTCTTTAACAGCTTGTCTTACTACCTACATATCCATTTATTCAAGTGTAAAGGTTAAATTAAAAATAAATGAAAGCAACTGATGCATGAGTGCACTCTGGCAAAAAAAAAAAAAAAAAAAAAAAAAAAAAAAAAAAAGTTCCCAAAGCCTGATGGGGACATTGCCAAAGATGAGAAGGTAACCAAGTGAGCAAACACCAACTGCTGGCTTAGCCTTACTTACGAGAAATCTGTTGCAGCAGGTAACTGAAGCCCTTACGTGGTAAACAGCAAAATTTACTTTTCTTTGTCTCTCTGTAACCTGATCTGAGATCTCTACAGAGATCGATGTCAAAAGACTCATTTTTAGCCTGATTTCCTAAGGAAAGAAGGCTTATGCAATTACACTGTCTGTTGGTGTTTCTGCCTGTGGGTCCCCTTTCTTCCTGCCTTTCCTTGCCAAAAAAAAAAGGCATGTTTAAGCCATTGCCCAATTCCATCTAAATTTGTACAAAGAGATAGAGCTTTCAAAGGTGACTTCTGTGAAATGCAAAGCTGAGTCAATGAAACAGACCCTAATAAAACTGCCACTGATAAAATATCAAGCATGTGCAGACACTGCTTAATATACATCAGAGAATCCACACAGCGGTGCCACATCAGGACAAGTCCATAGGAAACCAGGCTTCACTTGTTCTGCTGATCACAGAAAAAAATATTTTTATAATCCCATTAGCTCATCCTTTAACAGGGAGAAGACTAGAGTAAATGACTCAGTGTTCAAAGGAAAATCAATGATAGTGGAATATCAAAGGAGAGAGGCTCCAGTCAAGACCTAAATTGCTGCGAGCAGACAATGAGCAGGGAGCTGCGTGGAGTCCCCACTAGCTCATTAATAACCCTGCATTTGGGGCCCCATCCCAAGCTACATAAGAAAGCCAAACTCACATTTCAGCTCCTAATGTGATTTATCTTCCTTGTGTCAATGCTGGTAACCCCATGACTACATCTTCAAACCAGTCATTTTGAGCAGGATTTTTTTTTTTTGAGCAGGCTGGTATCAGGGAAGTAGTAGGACGACTTCTTTTGTCAAAAAGTCACAATGAGATCAATTTGAAATCAACTGTGAAGCCACATCCTAAAGGTGGAGTTTCACGCTGTAACAAGGTGGATGGAGGGTTTAGCTCCTGTTGAAAAAACAATTCTGCTTCCCCCTTCTACCTGTAGTCTTCCTCCTACTGCCTTCCTTCTGCGAACATTGGTGCCAGTCTGATTCAAGGAATTCAGTGAGCAGAAAGCTAACACAGCAAAAAATAGAGTTTTCTCCTGGTTTAACTCCTTGGAGTGGCTCACCACAGAGCCAGATCTCAGTGAAACTACATCCTAAGCCAAAAGATGAATCAGCTGCAACTCCCTCAGTGAAGGGATCTGCCAGAGTCTGCAGGTTTTGCAAAGAATCTGAAACAACAGCCCTCAGAGGTGTGAGCTGCCAGATTGATCCCATGAGGATGAGCTGTATTACCATTAATCATCACCAACATATTTCTCCATTAATTGCCAACTCTTTCATTGTGTATGTCGGAATAGAGAGGAATTTCACATTTTTGTTTCTTGAAGGGCTGCTAAACTTACCTCAGTGGTTGAGTTCCAGCAGACACAGTAAGTTGGCCCCACAGTTCATGCTTGCTTAGAAGGTGACATCCCCTATCTCCCAAAACCCTGCTCCCAGCTGCACCATCCTGACTGGCCTGTGCTAATTTGGGCATCCATTGGGACACCTCCTTGAGCCAAATGAAATCAGTAAAATGCTAGACAAACAGGCCCAATGAGCAGCAGCAGCAGCACAAAGAAAGGGACAGAACACATAGCCAAGAAGAATAAAGCCTCCTTTCAGCCAGCTACAAGTCATTAGATCAGCTCAGCTGCATGTTCAAGCTACATCTTTAGCTGAACAGCCTCAAGGGGTGACATTTGAGAGAACAGCGCTTGTTCTCCCCACCTTTCTGGTCTGTGAAATGAATAAGCAAAAGGAGAAAAGCCCAGAAGCCACCTAATTTCCTCTAGAGGGAATAAACTGCACAAGAGGAGTTATTAAGGGGAAAAAAAAAAGATATGGCTGAAAAATGATATCATCTTCTTGGCTCACCCTCCTTTTCCTTCTATTCCTCAAAAAATCAAGCGTGTTATAAATAAATAAAAGCCTTGACCCAGACCCCCCTCCTTCTCTAATGGCTGCCCTGTCTCTGTTGCACCTGTAGACTAACCCCATAGATATCTGAGCATCGGTGTCCAAATCTCTTTTCTATTTCCACTTTGGATCAACCCAGGCCATTCAAAGGCTCAGCAGTGCTCAAAAAAATGTATTTAAACATCATTGTCTTTGACTTGACACAATCAACCATGCTTCACTTGAAGTCTTCTCCTTTACTATTTAGGCCTTTCTTCCAAGTGTTCTTTGGCAGATTCTCCTCATGCTGTGTCACAGAGCTGTATCCTTGGCCTTCAGCTTTTATCCTCCCACGTTATCTCTGAGTTATCTCATCTGAAATACAAATACAACTATCATCTCTGTGCTGATGATTTACAGATCTGCTCCTTTCCCCAGAGCTATCTCCCTCTATCCAAACTCAAATCATAGCCTTCTCTTTTCTGTGGATGATGACTAGCAGGAAGCTAAAGCTCAGCAAAGCTGGAACATGGCTCTTTCTCTTTCCTAAAAGTCCTCTCATCTTCTTTGTGCATATCTATGGATAACATCACTGGTCTACCTGCCATTCGAGCTTCCATGTCAACTATCAGTTCTGACTGAGACCTCTCTGTAGACACAAGTGCCCAGGGTATGTCTAAATTTAGACTTCTGCTATGAGGCAGCTTTTAGACAAAGTCCTTTGATCCATTCTTGGATCCCTTGCTTAGGTCTTCTGCTTCCATACCTAGACTGCCCCAACACCTTTCCCTCCAGCACTGGCCAACGCGGCTCATAACCCCACAGCCTTTAACTGCTGTGAATGCCATGAACTGACAATACAGGGAAGCTGACTGTAGTCCTCCTTTTAATGATCAAACATGCCACAACCATCAAATGGAAACCACTAATGCAATTTTAACTCATTCTGCCAATTCAAATTTGGTCAGAACAAAATGTTGATGGGATAATTTTGTACAAGCAGACATTAAAAACAGATCAGGTATTGTCAGTCCTTCCAGAAGGAGAACAAAAACTCTGTTGCATGGGCACAAGCTAATGTGAGAGCAATGTGACAGCATGGCCATACCTGATCCAGATTATTTCAGTAGCAGTGGGAGATCTGGTTGCATACAGGCTTAGAATTAGCGACCCTGAAACCACAACCCTAGGCTGTTTATGTAGATCATTACTCTGGCCACATCACTTCTCTGTTTGAAGCATTCTGATAGTTCCCTGTTCTGTATTGCAACAAACATTATTTACTTATCTGCATTCTCCTCTACAGAAAGCCATCTCCCTGTTCATTACCTCCCATTTCCTTTTCAGTTGAATCCTTCCTTCCTATTGTCTACTTGTTAAAATTACAATCAAAACATGTTTGTGCTTTGTTTCACGCTGCTTTTGAGGCATGCAGGAGACTAACATCCTACAGAATCAAGCTGCTCAAGCAGTGGGTACAAACAGACCTTGAGGTACCCTGCCCAGCCTATGGTCTAGCCAGACTCAGACCAGCTTGGCTCATGTTGCTCAAACAGTTCCTGCACAGCACCCTTTGCGCTAACATGTCCCATAAAATAGGAATTTGTAGAAGTTGAATTGGTTTGACTAGGTACTGTCCAGGCTGAATTCCATTCTGAGCTGCAGAAGTTTCCTGTGAAGCTAGAAAAAGATGCTTCATTGGTGCTACTCCAGCATGACTCAGACCTATCGATGTATGTGTTCTGATGAGACTACAGCACTCAGGCATTAGCGCAGCAACATGTTATTTTCAGAGGAAAATGTCACCAGTACAGGTCGCGATGAATTTCTTAGGTGTTAAATATTTTCAAAATTAATACAAACAAAGGAGTTGGAGAGCAAAAAATGCTTACCAGTACATTTTTAACCTACATGGATATGTGAAAGAACACTGCATTTTGCAGAAAAGCTTGGCAGTCTGCTATTATTTTTCTCTCGAATTCTGACAACATGACATCTTTATCTGACTGCTGACAAATGTGATTTAAAAAAAAAAAAATCAGCTAAGCCTTTCTTGAAAATCCTAGCACTGGGGTTTTAGGGAATAATTTTGTTTATTTATATTTGTTCATGTAAGTACACAGCTTTCCTAGAGACTGGATCCAGTACATGGAGAAAGAGCTTCAGTGATTTTATTATGTCACAATTCAAAGAAAATGTTCCTACACCTATTTGTTTCAGTATAAAAACAAAAATATCCAACCTAAGCAGTACTTTAGGAAAGGAGAAAAAACGAACCACATGTGATAGAAGTGACAGTCACATTACGTAATGTATTTCTGGAAGGCTCTTGGATCTTGTAGGGATGCAAGCTGTAAGAAAACTATACAGGAGAGAGCAGAATACAAACTGATAGAGTCAGTTTGAAACCTATAGGCAGAAATATATAATATTGCTAATCTATGCTGGGAATTTAGAAGTAACCGTCAATTTCTGATGTAATTGTAATGCTACAGAACCTTTTAGCATGCAAGCCAAAGAGCTATAAAATATGATTTATACCAGTACAATTTACCTGTTTCTGAAGCTAAGGTAATAAACACAAATCATAACTGACAGGGCCTTTGCCTGTCTATACCAAGGCTTGCTAGACACGTTACATTGCAAAAGCTGGCTATCGATAGCTTTAACTAGAGCAAAATCCTTGTACAGCTCAGATGTAGGAAAGACTAAGTGTTCTGGCTTTCATTTTATTGTTAACATTAGTAATTATAATTCCAACAGAAAACTGTTAGTGGACTGTGTCTGGATATTTCTCTCAAATTATTATTGTAACCTTTAATTAACTTTCAAGTTCCATATTTACACCTATGGATGTCACATATGGAAACATGTCTAAAAAGCTGAAATATGAGAAATGTTCACTGATTTTTTAAAATTCCATTCAGATACTTCGTTATTTTATTAGAAGTAAAGCTATAGCACCGTCAACTAAAAAGTATGTTTTATAGGATTTTGTGTTCTTTCTATAAGTCTTAGCCAAGAATACCAAAGCACTCAACTGACTTTCTATACTGAAATCATTTTAATTTCCACTGAAAAGCCATCCCTGAAACATGGCAGCAGTCTAGCAGTACCCGGTGATGCTGCCACACCATGGTTAATGTCAGGAAGGGTTTTGTTTGTCTGGGGACACCTAATTCTTAGCAGGTGCAGCTCTGCGTAAGGAAGGCCAGAACTGCTGGACTAATTCCTCAGCTTCCCAAAACTGTAGCTCCCATGGGTACTGGCTCTGGTTCTCCTGCACCTGTGGGGAAACACAGACCTGGGAATTTCAAGCCACAGGTCTGGGAATACTCACCTCCTGTGCGTGGTTGTGCATTGCAAAGCGGGGCTGTGGGCCGCACCTCACAGCAGTTACACCCCCTGGATCACTGCTGTTGTCCTCACAGTGTCAGGTATTACACATGGCAGATGCAGTCCTGTGAAAGAGAAAAAAAAATGTTGTTTTTTCCTCTCACGAACACACAGGTGAGGGTGTCACACTGCAGTGAAGTACAACAGATTAATTTCACCTGTTTAACCGAGTGCCGTTCAGCATTTTGTCAGTTGCTGACGAGGAGATTTGCCTGTGCTTCCTCTGGGGCAAAGCCCTGGGAGCCCTGCTCCCCTCAGGAGGGGCACCCATCCTCTGGCCAGCCAGGAGCAGGAGGGAGCGAGCAGCAGCACCTCGGCGAGCCCTGCAGACACCACCTCAAACCCAGCAAACCCCTCACCACACGCTTTCGGAAACGCCACAGAAACCGCTCAGCGCTCACAGACGACAAAACCCAGCACCGGGGGGGACGCTTCTCCCTCACGCCCCCTTCCAGCTACCGCTCTGGGGTGGCCCTTTTCCTTTTACTTCAGTCGGGGCGACTTTCCGGAAGGAAATTATAATAAAAAAATAAATAAAAAGGGGGAGGGGGGGAAGAGAAGCGCCGCGACGGGCGAGTGTGGGGACGGTGCCCACCCGCGGCAGCACCTGCCCAACGTTGGCGGCGGGGAGTGCTGGGCTGAGCCGGGTCGGGTCGGGTCGAGCCGGGCAGGGCTGGGCTGAGCTAAAGTGAGCCGAACCGAGCCGTGCCGGGTCAGGGGACTGCGAATTTCCCCGCTCCGCTCCGCTCCGCCGTTACAGGAGCGAGTTACCAAGCGGCGGCGCGGCGTTAAAGCCGGGCCGGGAGCGGCGGGGAGGCGCGGGCTGCAGCTGAGGATCAGCTGCTGAGGGGAGCGGGGAGGAGCCAGCGGGATCAGGAAGCGGCGGAGTGTCTAACACCTCTCTGCCATGGCTGGCTAAAGAAAAATCATCATAACCATAACAAGGGGGGAAGCGGGGGAGGGGAGGCGGCGGCGGGGGAAGGGGCGGCGGGGGAAGGAGCGGCGGGGAGCGGCGCAGGCGGCAGCATGAAGAGGCGAGGCCGGGGGGGCAGCATGCGGTCCGTGGTGGGGTTCCTGTCCCAGCGGGGCTTGGAGGGGGACCCCCTGCTCACCCAGGACTTCCAGCGGCGACGCCTGCGGGGCTGCAGGAACCTCTACAAGAAGGACCTCCTGGGCCACTTCGGCTGTGTCAATGCCATTGAATTCTCCAACAATGGAGGCCAGTGGCTGGTCTCAGGTAAAGCGAGCGCTCCCCGGCCCTCACCCCCCCCCCCCTCCTCTACCCTCCTCCGCCGCCCCCTCCCCAGAAAGCATCTTCCTCCTCCTCCTCCTCCTCTTCCTCCTCCTCCTCGGCCGCCTCCCCTGCGGCCCGGGGAGGGGGGGAGCAGCGGCGGCGGCCCCCGCAGCCGTGCCTCCGAGCAGCCCCGGCCCGGGATTAATGTTCCCCCAAGTGGGGATCTAAAATGGTTGACAGGTTTTAAATTCTGCCCTGACTGCTGCTGCTGCTGGGGAGCCCCGGACAAAGTTTCTACGCGAGTGTTTCCAGGACGCCGGGGTTGGGTTGAGAGGGGGGGAGCCGGGGGTGCCCTTTTATTTGTTAGATCGTTTGTTTTGCCTCCCCTCCTTTAATAAAAAAAAAAAAAAGGGGTGGGGGGGTAATTTTATTAGGGGAGGGGAAACAAAACTGCGGGGCTGACCGTGGGAGCCCAGTGACATTTGTCAGCGCCCGCCCGCAGCAGGGGGGGACCGGGGGGGCTCAGCCCGGCCGGGGGCACCGTGGGGGTGGGCACCCGGCTTTGGGGGGGGGGAGGAGGAGGAGAAGGGGTTGTTTTGTTCCTCCTCTTCCTCCTTCCTCCCCTAGCAGGATGCTTGGGGGGAAGAGAGGGGGATTATTTCCGCGGTGATGGGGTTGGGGGGGGGGGGGTTAAGGCTCCCCGCTGCTGCCTGCCTGGGGCAGGGGGAGGCCGGGGTGGTGGTGGGGGGGGGTGATGCTGTCAGGTCTCAGGGGCTCGACCCTGAGGAGAGGGGGGGGTGAAGGGGTGCCGAGCCTCAAACACCAGCAGGAAGGGCCGCGGGGCCCCCCGCTGCCTCCCCAGCGGCGTTGGGCGCAGGTGCCTGTGCCCGCTGCCCGCCCCCGGGCTCGCCGGGGAGAGGAGGCGACTGGAGGCCGGGGCCTGGCCGGGCGCTGCAGGCCGCGCTGCCCCCCCCTCCCCGGGCTGCTCGCAGACACGGCCCGGGGGATCCAGGGCACGGCCCGGCCTCGGGGGGCGGGGGGGGAGCCCCGCTGCTGCTCCCCGGCCCGGCACGGGGACCCCGCTGCGGAGCGGGCACAGCCCCGCGGGGCGCCGGCCGGGCCGCGGCAGGCCGCGGGGGGAGGCTGTGGGCCTCCGGGGAAGGGGGCGGGAGGAGAAGCTCCTCGGCTCCCTCCTGCCCTGCCTCCCTGCTGCCCCCGGAGAGCCCCATCCCCGCCGGGGAGGCCCCCCGGGCATCGCCCGGCCCCGGGGTGTGAGGCCGGGGCCACGGCCTCGCTCAGCGCCCGGGGCTGCAGGCACCGCTGGCAGCTCCCGAAATACCGCGGGGCTTCCGTAAAAAAAAAAAAAAAAAAAAAGTTATTATGGCTGTTCGGGTATTTATTTTAAGCGATTGTGGGATAAAACCACCAAAATCGTGCGCTTATAGAGCGGAGGCTGCTATGCTGAGGCCTGCCTAATTATAACTTTCTTATCTGAAGAAAGTTTGGAGTGTAAGTCCGGTAATTTCCAGAAGTGTCCCTGGAGGATTGTAGCTTTGCTCTCAGGGATTCTTGTGTCTATGCACACACAGCTTTCACAGTACACATCCATTTGTCGTGCGGATGTACATACACGTGCATACACACATGGCTGTGTGCTGGGGCAGGGCTGGTGCCTCTGCTCTGAAGCTCTCAGGTGTTCCCCACCCGGCACCCTGCTTTGTACCAGTCCTTCTCCACAAGTAGGCAGAGCTATGCTTTCCTACTTCCAAAGTGCTGCTGAGAGCTCAAGTGCATCTCTCATTGGTTTTCTTAATTATTTTTTTTCATCATAAGTGATGGAAACACCATCAGAGTTCTCTGTTCTTGCTCAGGAAAGCCCTAGGAGATGTTTTGGGTCTTGTCACATCACTGATGCACTTGCTTATGTCGACATCCATTCTTTAGGTAGAAGTAGAAAAAAATGAGGGCTGGAAGGGACTTCAAAAATTAATTTAATCCAACTGCCTGAGTCAAGGTAGGTGCAGTGGGAGAATGGAAACAGATTTCCTATCAGGTGGCTATGTGGGAAAGGAAGGCTTTCAAACCATGCCTGTTTCACAATTTCCTATCTTCTTTTAAAGCTACAGAGTGTTTACAGGGGCTAAGCGCTTACTCAGTACGTAGGAGATGGTGCTAGAGTTGTACCCTCCTAAACTCATAAGGTGACTAAGAAGCAAGTGAATGTTCTAGTCTAAAAAATATATAAGGCAGGGGGGTGGATGGGTGTGGAGTGGATGTTTAAGTTGCATGTGTTAGCAGTGCACAAATTTAGATAATTAAGAACAGACTGCCTTAAGTCTGACCTTGTATTGATGCCCTGAGAAAGTGAAAAGCTCTAATTACAGTAACTTTTAAACAAAGTTTTACATTATCTGTGACCACAAGATCTAGAAAGCTATATTTGATACAGCAACAGGCAGGTGCTTTGTTCTTCATTCAAGACTAAGAAGTTAAAAGGCAAAATATTTATGGATGCTCTGTTAAATTTGATGCCATTATAAGTACAGGCTTCATTAACGTTACACTCAAAACACTACTTTTTTAAGGTCATGCTTCATCTTGAAACACTGAGAAAAAGCAGTGAGAAGGGGAGCTCAGATGAAAGATAAAGGAGGGGTGTAAGCTGACAGCAATCTGAAGTTTTTGTAGAAGAGTTGCTTCAGAAGTCTTCCAAATGTAGATAGAGCCTTAGAATAGATGGCATGTGGGTCTCTCCTCCCTCAAAATAGTCAGTGTGCTGAGGTAAGGATGAGATGTTAGATACTTCCATCTGCGCTTGTAGCAGCTCAGAGAGTTAACAGGGATATCGGAGTGTGTGAAAAGGAAGAGCGCAAGCAGTTTTTCAGTTGTTCAGTTTTAAGTAATATGTATATTAACATCAAGAAGTCTGCCTCGGCTAATTGACTTGTTAAGAAGTTAGACCTTGTTAGAGCTGTTTTAAGTGCAGCTAATACAGTGCATTCGTGCTGCCTATACTGATCCCATTTAAATTCAAGCCTGCATCCGAGTTAGTGCTGTTCTCATCAGCGTTGGCCGGAATGCTTTTTTCTGGGTTTGTGTCCCACTTTTTCTGGTGTGGATTTTGTGTTGTTTTTGTTTTGTTTTGTTTTTGGTCACATCTCCGAGAAGGAAGTCTGTAAGGCTAATGATTACTGCTGTTTTAGTAAACATTTCAAAGTGCTTAAACAGGGTTTACATTACAGTTCCAGATCATTTTCCTGTTAGGATTTTGGAGAGAGCTTAGGTGTAGACAAGCCTCAGCAAGCCCTTTGAAAGCATATTTAAAACTTCCTAACCTCATTAAATCTTGTGTTAGAGATTACACCTTTAATAGTAACTAATTTTGTTCCTAACCATGATTTTACGTAGTGATGTTGTGTTTTTTTCCTGTTGTTGTTGTTTTGTTTACAATATTTCTATGTTCTGGAGCCATTTGACCGTTTCAGCCACTATTAAAAAGAAAAAAGAAAGGTTTGGTCAACAAATTGCATTGGGGATCTGCCTGTCTGGGCTTTTGCTATGCCTGTGTGGACTTAACAGTGTTACTTTAGAGAGAGAGATGCTAATGTTTTGGGGCAAGACTTCTGGAAGAAGGGACAGGCATAAGGAAACGAGTTAAAGAAAGTAAAGAGAAATGAAAGGAGGAAGTGCATGCTCAAGAGACGACGGTGCAGTGGGACAAGTAGAAAAGACCTATCTGTAGAGTGACACAAGGGAAGAGGCTGAGGTGAGTTAAAACTAGCTGCTGGGTGGAGTTGAACGATTTTATTGGACAAAATGCCTCTTTGCAAGTTTTTATGTGCTAGGTGGTGGTCTTTTTCTGTTAGCAGTTTGAGAAACACAACTGTAAGTGCATGGAAGTGAAATTCCATGTGCAATGATAAGCAGCTGACTCCTTCCCTCAGACATGCCAAGCATCTCCTTCTGCAGTTTAACTTCTTAAAAATCAGCTGTATTTATTCTGCCTAATAGCGTTCCTTGTTCCCATCCTCAAGCTTGGTGGATGAGTTTTCCTATTTGTCTATCTGTCATTTTTCATGTGTGCTATCTCTTGGAAACATGAGTATCTTTATCAGAACCTCCCACTTCCCCCTCCCCCCCAACACACACACTTTAAACTGTACTTTCAAGATAACTTCTGGGAAATAGTGTAATCTGAGGCTTGCTTAATCCATGCATATGTTCTTTTTCTCGGACTCTCTCTTTGCTCCCTTGCCAGATAAATGCAGAAATAGATGGCTCTTCTACGATTGTAAGTTTGTAGGGATGCAAGAAGTGCTGGTAATTCGCCTGTCATTTGGTTGTCAGGTAGATCTAAGAGGACAGCAGAATGATGTGACTTTAGCACAGGTAGTGGAATATTACTGAATTAAGGGAATTGTGTATCAAGTGTGGTTTAAGGAGGGACAGTCCTGATCTTAGCCTTTTTGTCTCAAGTAGAATTCTGGGTGAGGAGGGGTAAGAGGTCCACTTACTACATGATATTTTTGTTACTGTCTGAGAAATTAAAAAACTGAAGGTGATAACAGGAGAGGCAGCAATAATTTCAGAGGATAGGAGCTGAATTTAAAATTAGAGACATTACCTGGAAAAAAAAGGCACGCAGCTTAATAGGGACAAGTGCAAACTGTTTCAAAGTGGTCAACTCTACAACTACAGTATGGAGGCTAGACAGCAGTCATGCAGAAGTGAATCCAAATGTGACAGTAGATCACAACATAAATAACATCAGATTTGATAAAGCGCATGAAGTAATCCTTCTGCTCTATTTGGCGCCGTTGGGGCCTCAAAAAGAGCACTGTGCTCCATTTTGGGCACAGATTTTGGAAAAGATGTGGCCTAACTAGAGAAAATTCAGAGGAGACAGTGAAGAATGGTCAGAGGTCTAGTAAAATAAAAGCCTGGAAAGAAGGGGTCTGTTCAGGTTACAGATGGAAAAACTGAGTAGACAGGCAAGTCTTCAAAGTATCTTTAATTATTGTCATATAAAGTTGTAAACTCTTCTTTGTCCATTGGGAATAGGACAAGAAAATGGTTTTAAATTGTAGGGGTGCAGTTCGATCTTACCTAATGTGCTATAACTTGTGTCTGCCTCCAGAAAGGGCAGCCTTTTTTTCTGTCCCATTCATCCTGTAGTTCATTCACTTCTTTTCTCCGTTCCCTTCTTTTTAATGTGGCACTTGGACAGCTTAAAGTCATAAACGGGTATGACTGAGGGGTCTGGGTAGGAGGAATAGGGAGAAGTTGTTTGTCTAAGGTCTGATTTTCTATGGGGTCAGCTCCTTCAACATGTTCTCCTGCTGCCTGCATCACCCCTGAATGCGATGGGAGGGAGAACAGCAAGGAGCACATGGCAAGGGGCAGTGGGATTACGTGTAACGTCAAACTGCACCCTCGGGCTAGATATTAGGATAATCTGCCTAATGGCAAGGATAACAGCACTGAAATAGGCTGCCTAAGGAGGGTGTGAAATCTACCTTAGTGGAGTTTCTTTAAGAACAAACTAAACACATAAATACTCTGGTGGGAGTAGTTCAGGTGGTCTGCCATTCTGCCCAGGGCCAGGATCAACTAACTAACTGATCAGCTTCTTGAAATGCCTTCCCCACTTTCTGTGATTCTTACAGCTTCTCGAGTAGGTGCAAACAATAAGAGTAATCTTAGGTTATGATTTAGAAGTGTTGTCTGCAGTGATGGGGCCTGAAGAGGTGTATTGGAGACAGAGGTGTCGTGGTCTTGAGCTTTATCCACAGCTAGCCCAAAAGTGGGGCAAACCTGGAATGCTTTGGTTTAGAACTGTGGAGACGGTGTTCTGCCCATATTGTTTATCTGTGCTACTTAAAACAAAAATTAAAAACTTTTTTGCGGGGGAACCCCTTCTCACTTTTTTTTCCTTTTCCCAGAACTCTTGGGGTATGCAGCAAGCACAAACCGTTCTGAAGTGGGCGAGCAGTGTTTGTTTATTTTGTTTTCTTCAGGATAACTATCTCAGGATTTGAAATGGAAGCTTTCTTTTTAGGTATGTTGTGTTGAGCATCCTCTGGGTAGGATTCCTTGATCCTTCCCATGTCTCATCAACTTTAGCCAGAAGGCCCTAATCATTAACAAAATATTCCGGTGGTTTGGGGTAGGAGAAGAAACGTGTGTGTGTTTGTTTTTCATTCATGTGTTCTTGTTATTTAATTAAAAAAAAAAATACTGCTCTTTTCTACATCAAGAGTAATATGGAAAGGTGATAAAGTTTCCAGCTTCTCTGACCACAAATATTTCTTTGGCCTGAGTTCTCTTCCTTTTTGACATTCATTTGACATGTAGCAGCAGGTTTCAACACTATGAACACTGAAGTAGTTGAGTAAATCTTTTTAAATGCGATTCCTTTCTGAAAAGTAGCCATGGCATGGCACTGCTTGGTTCTAACCTGGGTCACACAAACTTTCCCTTTTCAAATTGTTGGTTATGCAGTGGTGGACCAGTAAGGTGGAAGTGAAACTTTTCCCACTTCCTAGACATCAAACTGACTACTTCTGACACTTCTGTATTCACGTTGTCCCAGGTAGCTTTCACAGTTTAAATTATCTGGGATTTCAGTGAGCCACCTTGTAGCCCAGGAAGAAAGAGGTTGTTATATGCTGTTAACTCTCTTGGTTTAGGAGTGCTAAAAGATCCTGAAATCCATAAAATGTTCCATATATATATATGCAAATACGTGCAATTTTCTTCATTAGGAAACTTCTGATATTTGTTCAAACATTATTAACGGTGTCATAAGCTGATAAAGCAGTGCTGGGATATACCTGAAAGTGACTGCAGCCACCATTCTACACTTGTAAGTAGATTGGTTTTGGATTTTGTGTAGCTCAAGATTTTACAATAGTGCTGTTTTGAAAACTGATGTCAATGCTTTCCAGGTACCTCTTGCACCTCCACATGACTTTCTTTGCAGAAATCTGAAACAATTAATCTGAAACAATTAAAAACACTTAAACTCTGAAACTTTCTGAAAGGTAGTTTCAGGCTGGGAGCTCGTGAGCTCAGCAATGACAAACTGAAGCCCTGGTGGCTCAGGTGCCTTCAGCTGAGGCCATACATGCAGGTTTCTCAGTGTAGGAAGCCTGGTGCTGGTGGTGTGTGCGCTGTACCAGGTAGCCACACGCAGGTGGTCTCTCTGGGGGAGTGTTGCAGAGGTGTCACAGTTTATGCAGCAGGTCTGGTGCTTCCTGAAAGTGCTGAGTGCTTCTGCTTCACGTGCTGCAGAGTTGGTGAACGTGCACAGTAAGTCCACCATGAACAGAAAGCATCTGAAATGTTCTGCATTCACTGACCAGCCATACAGGACAAATGCTGTAGGCCTGAAGTTTGCTGTACTTCTCAGGCTTGTATCTTCTGCTGGATAACATGCATGCACATTGTGTCTGAGGAATCATAGTTCCTTTCTACACAGCCATCTCCTTCCATGTCTTCAAGTTTTCTTTGCAGTTTCCCTGTATGCCTGTGTCTCCCTGTATACCCTTCCCTATATCTGTTTGCCCCCTTCCTTCCCTTCTTCATATTCTGACGATTTTTTGTTTCTGGTGGAGCTGGCCTTAAATCAAAGTGTTTCTGGGATAGCTGGGTTGGAGGCAGAAGGTAACATGCTTCCAACCCAGTTAACATCTTCATTTTATTAATCTTTTTTGTCTTATTGGGGCACAAGGGGAATGAAACTGAGGCATGAAACAGAGGTGTAGACATTCTCAAAGACAAGCGAGTGCAAGATGATCTGGAGATGGAGAAGGACAGAATTGCTTGTCTGGAGAGCATGTAAGCTCCTGAGCTGTGAAACATGTGCCACTGCAAAGGCAATGCTGTTCTCAGACTGCTGGGCAATAGTGAGGCTTTTTATGTACCAAAGTGGCGTGGAGATCTCTGTCAGGGAGCTGAGATTCATTAGGAACAGTTAGGAGGCATAGAAAGCAGGCACTAAGAAATAGGAACTTTTTAAAAAGTTGTGGCAACTTTTCACAACGGTAAAGGCCTTTCTGCATGGGCTTCAATTTCTCCGTCTCCTGCTGTGCTGTGTACTGGAAACTACAGTCAGGGCTCTCGTCTCTGATCTTCATTGTTCTTGTTTGTGCCTCGACCAGGTGGGTAGTAACAGTGAATGAGGATTTGCTGTTGAAATGAAACCCTTAGGTAGCAGTGGTGTCAGGTAGGAGGATGTGTACACTTAAAGCAGTGTTTTTGCAAATTGGCTTGCTATGGTAACAATTAATAACGCTGTGTTAATATGTTTTGCTCTGAAATGGCTTTTGCAGAAGTCTTGAAAGACAGTCAATGTGGTGTGGTAGGAGCAATGCTGGTGTTCACCAACCTCAAGTGTCTGTTAAATCATGTGCCAGGGAGTGATAATGTTAAGACCTGGCTGTTCACAGCTTCAGAAAGCAACCCCTTTAAGTGTGACGATCACTTCTTTATTTTAGTGTGACTAGAGTGGTCATCTATTTCACCAGTTGTCTGTTTCAGTGTCCCCTTACTACTCCTCTGTAATCGCTAGGGTGCAAATAGGAACTTTCTTTGCTTTTTCTGGACAGAAAGGAATCCAAACTCCTACCAGATCAGTTAACCATAAGTGCTGAGTTCTTCTGGAGCCATCACGTTTGACTCTTGTTCTCAGTAGTTATCAAATTCATTGCAAATCTCTTTATCCCGCCTTACTTGTTTGCTCTGTAAGGTACAAAATCAGAAGGAGGAATGCACTCTAATAATTTCACAGAGCATGGATAAGAGTGACATGGACCTGTGCTGTCTATCAAAGTGATTGGGATAAAATATCTTAAGAGACTTAAAGGCTGAGAGACCGTTAACTTAAGGGATGTTGGACATAACTCAGTTCCATGGACAAACTTCCTGATAGCATCGTATTATGTGAAAATTGTAAAGAAATCTGATTAACAATAACAATATGTTCCACTTGTGTATTTACCCCTTCTTGAAGGAAAACACAGAGCAATTAATTTCAGTTTCCTTTTGTCTCTGTTTCATGATTTTTCCTGCAGGGTAGGAGCTCAGAAGGCACAGGTTGTTCTTTTGGTTGTGCAAAGAAGCAGTAAAATGTTTTAACTGAAATGAGCAGGTTTCTAGTGGCACTTCTGACTTGCGATGCCATTCTCTTGCATTTGTTATTAAAGATGGATAACAACAATATTTAGATTCTCAGTTGAAAAAGCTTTATTTGAATGTTACAAGATGTCCAAATTTGATGTTGAGAGCGCTACCAAATACAACAGAATCTTGTAAAAAAAAAATCAAAGATTTTTGGAAAAGATTGAAAGATTTTTCTCCCTTCCTGGCAAACTGTTGTTTAATGCAATTATAAAGCATAAGCATTGTCTAATATTTCTTTTATTCCTGACTCTTCACCAGATAGAGAAGTGCACAAGAGTTTTGAACTGAGAACTGCAACTAGGCAAACTATTACAAAAAAAAAGAAAAACAGAAAACTATAAAACGAGAGACATTTGAACTTCTTTTCTGCAGTCATCCTCTTTGTCAGGAGCTTCAATTCAGAAATATCTGCCTTAACCTTTACAGATCTAGAAGCATGACATACCTGTCTATACTGAAGCATTCAGGAGTCTTCAGCAATGTCTTTCTGTCCCCATACATCAGTCCTGTAACTAACCAGTGCTATGAACAGGCATTGCAAAGACTGATAGTGGAGATACGGTTGTTGGTTGGGGGGGAAGGTTCTTGTTTCACGAATAGCATAAGCAATGCTGTAAACAGGGATTCGGTTGGAAGTATTCTTGCCAACATGCATATGTTACTTTGGCATGTCATTCATTTACAGCTTGCTACAGAACTTTATGTGCCAGCAAAATTCTGAGTCTGCAGGTTGCTATAGGTTGTCAGTATGTATTGGCAGAATAGCAGGTTTTTGTTCCAAACTCTTCCTGCTGATTCCTCTGCTATCATTAATATTAATTGAATACCTGACTGCATGGCATATTTATGTAAATACTTGTCTAAGTGTCCAACCCATTGCGAGGTACAACAATCTTTATGGTATTTTTTTGTTTTGTTTTGTTTGAGTAACTGCAGAATGAAATAATTTGGCTATCATGAATTTACACGTGACTCCAGCAGTAAGTCAAGTTTCCTTTCTCTCCTCTAGGAGGCGATGACCGCCGTGTCTTACTGTGGCATATGGAAGAAGCCATCCACTCACGAGTCAAACCAGTTCAGCTGAAAGGAGAACATCACTCCAATATCTTTTGCCTGGCTTTCAACAGTGGCAATACGAAGGTGTTCTCTGGAGGTAAGGAAGAGCAGCCTGATTCACTGGAGTCTGAGCTGTAATTGCCTTAGAGTAGAAGCCATGAGTGAGATCCTACCCCATATGAAAGGTCTTTTCAATAATCCCCTATATACCTGGAAGCTGACCTTAATCAGCACATGAAGGTTCTTTTGGAACAGGGAATTCTTTAGCAAGCACAACATATTCAGTCTCATCATGCTTCTCTTTTTCCCAAATCCTGGTGTAAGGGCAGTGTGTCACAAACTATCGTGAGAATCCTCAGTGCAGTCCTGCCCTTACTTGTGCTACAGACTGTGGAACATCATCTGTGTCGTTCCCTCCTAGCCGTGCTGCATCCTATCTGGCACTCTAGTTTGATATTTGAAAACCTCTGCTGCTACTAACCAATTTTAATGCACTCTTAGATGGCTAATGAAGGACTATTGCCATCTATTGGTGGGTCACTTTTTCCTCAGATCTCATTTCAGTCCTCAATAGGTGTCTGCCTCTTAGAACTGTTGGCACATCAGGCTCTAATTATCCTTTATATTCTTCATCTTTTTGTATATAAATCCACATTTTAACAGGAAGATTAATTTAGTCTTAAAACTAATATAAATAAACTGGACATGTACTTGTTCTGAACCTAAATCCCTAGAATTTATGTTCATTCTGCCTCTCATTGCTTGATTTTGAAGTGTTGACATAGGAAGGAGAATTGAATTGAGAGGAGAAAGGAAGAGAGGTTTTGCTTACAAGACCGTTGAAATGCAGTCGTTGTCCTTTTCTGCTATACTTTATTTCTATGTCTGATCTGATTATCAGAAGGATAGGGATTTGTATCTTTCAGCAGTATGTCAGTTAACACACAGCTAGAGTTATTGTAGAGTATTAGGAGACCACTTGGTCAGAGCCCTTCACTTCTTCTTTGTTACTGAGATTAGTGAACTGCAAATCAATGCTGTGAATTGGTTCTAAGGACATGGGAATGGTGGAAACTTTCCGCGCTTTAATGCTGGATTAAAACCATAATGTCCCTTGGGGTGGAGGGAAGACAGCAAAGCTTAAGATAGTGTCAAATTTCAAGGTTGAAATGATTCAGATATACTGAAAGATGATGTGGAGAAAAAACAAGAATGTTGAATACTGATGTCTGTCTTCTGATTCTTGAGACTGCTGTTTATTTTATGAGAGACAGCAATCCACACTGTCTACAGAATGGATGTTTCTATTTGAGGCCCGTAGTTATTCCAGTGGAATTTTGGGCTGAAGTCTGTTTTGCTTTAGCTTGAATTTAGACAAATGGAAGCTCACATGAATATTCAAGGGCTGAACTGACAGATTAACTGTGCTAAATCTCGCTGGAGCAGCTGTGATGGTACTTGCCACTTCCAACTCAACCCTCTGTCCATTGGGCCATGCTGTCAGAGGCTACAGTTATCACAGGAAGAGCAGCAGAATGTTTTTTCTGTACTTTTGCCACTGCAGTTAACACCTGCAGTTAGAGATTTGTATCATTGATTCTAGTGTATTTTTGCTAAGATGCCAGGTTCGATGAGCTGTGACAGCTGATGCACAAACTGGCCGTGCTTATCTCTTTCTCCTCCTCTGGTCCACATACACTCTGTGCCTCTGCCAGAAATTATTTCCATTGGAGGAGTCAGGAACTTATTCATCTGCTCCACCAAGATTCACAGAGCTCATCTGCTGGGGCTGCGAGGCTGACTCTTGGATCCTATGTAAAAAGTCACTTTGCTGCATGGCCTAGATGTACCATCTGTCATCTCTCTTCCAGTAAAACGGGGCTAACTATATTTAATCACTCAACAACGTTCTTGGAGATCCTCAGAAGGTCTGAAAGAAGTGCAGATCCTAAGATCTGTTGATTTCCCCTCTGTTCAATAAATTCAGTTGGAGTTGCATTCAAAACATGGAAATTGAAATACTGTAATTTTTAAGTTTTTAGGTTTTAAGTGTGGAAGCTAGCATAAGGGGCACAGAACCTCATTTGTTCTGTAAGCAAGACTACCATCAGCTAATGACTTAGGGTTTGAAGACGTTTCTGTCAAGCAGGTCTTAATAGCAGAGAAGATTTTCCAATTCCGTATAAATTGAATTCCATTCAAGTAATTTCAAACCTCCTTGATGTCGAAGAGTGCATGTGTAACATGCACCACACAGAGCCAATCCTAAAACGGAAGGTAGGAACTGAGTGGATAGTGGTTTGTATGTGATCCTGGGAAGGGGGGAGAAATCTTGAGATACCAAGGAAGTTTCCATCCCTGAAGAATACCAGGGTGAAGGGTGAATCCTTACCAGAAGCAACTGAGCAGTTTGTGGTTAAGCTTTGTCACTACCTTCTCCTTCCACACACAAAGCACAGAGAAGCAGTGGCTATTCCATGCTCCCCTTTCTTTTCTTTCTTTTTTTCCCATTTTGGAGCTTGTAATGGAAGGGGAGGTTGATCCTGTGATGGCTGGAGGACTGAAGCCAGGCAGCTAGAATGATTCTCCTGTCAGTGCTGTATGGACAGTGAGGCACAGCGATTCCTGCTCCTCACCTTCCTGCCACTGAAGGGGAATTTCATCACTGGAGAGACTAGGCTACATTTTTTATGGGTGAAATACATAGGCACTAGTGTAGTTTTACTAGGTATAAACATAGCCTGTAATGTATAATGGACAGCTTCCATTGCAATTAATGATGAAAGGACACTTACACATAAGTGACTCGTTTATTGTGCCATGGAAAAGATGAGCTACTGCAGTCATCTAAGGCTGGCACAATTTAACTGAGAGCCTATGCGAAGAGCAAGTGGATGTAGAAAATCTCACACTTCATTAGTCAAAGAGAAACTTTCTTATATTTCTTCTGTTGGGACAAACAAATCGAAATGCACACAGGATAAATGGAAACTGAGTCATATGAACAGTTAAAACGCATAGCAGAAGAAATTTTGCTCCTTATAAACATCTGGCTTTGCTGTACACTGGGAAAGCTTCACAGCTTGATACCACAACTACAAAGTTATATTGAGCATAAAAATATGACTTTGGGTTTTCTGCTTATTTTCTTCTGAATAAAATATGAATCTGTCTCCTTAAATATTTCTAACCAGGAGGTGCCAAATTAGGTAAATTTATATTTTTGGTTTCTTCACTGAATATTTATTCTGTTGCTATAACTTGAAAAACTCTGAAGACAGTGGAATTACTTGGTAGATGTGATCCTCTTTTACTGCTTACATGTGGTTAGTTGCCATTGTAGTCAATGGTTGTGATCAAAGAAAACTGACAGGATTGTCTGGGTACTTGGTTTGGGTTTTGTTAATACAGAAGAAATTGCACTTTCACTGTCACGTTTGTACCTTCTCAATAGTTGCAAAACTCTGAAGGCTGACAGCATGAACTGGCATCGTTTGGCACGTGAGCCCAATGCATTTGGCTTGCGGCACCCTTTTTTTTTAATCCTCCATTATCTTAGAAGCATTCTCTGAGCAGAAAGAAAGATGCATGCATGTGAGAGTCAGAAGTGTTCTGCTGCTTTGTAGTATATTCTTCTCTTTACTGCAAATGTCCCAAAACTCAAGCTCAAACTGACCAGGGCATGATCAATAACACAGTTCAGTAGAAGTTATCTGTCGACCAGTAGAAGGTGGAATGGATCGGTGCATTTGGAAATGTCACATGGAACATTTCACAAAGCTGAGCACAGCACTGATCGCCTGGCAACAGTGCTGGTCTTTTCTGTTTTCAATTGTGTTTTCAAAACAGAAATTTTAAATTAAAAATATACATATATATATATGTTTTTATTTTTCTACTCAAATGTGTTTTTGTTGTTTTTTTTTTAACCACTGGAACACGATGTTAAATGTTTATATTTTTCTTTTTAGGCAATGATGAGCAAGTTATACTCCATGATGTTGAAAGGTAAATACGCAGTTTGTGTTTCCACTGCTTCGTGAACTCTCTTAATACCAACTCATTGGAGGCAATTTTGTTTTAACTTAATGGTCTGGGAGAAGAGAACAGTCTGATTTAATCCTGAAACATGTTTTTTATTTATCTAAACTCATATCTGGAATGAAGTATTCCCCATCACCCCATTTATTTATTTTTTAAAGTACTTGGTTTCTGCATCATTTTGATCTTGGGAACAAGAGGGATTATTAAATACATATGCTCTCCTGCAGGCAGCATATTAGGTTTTGGGAAGGTTCAGAGCCAGATTATTCTGGCACTTACAGGCTCTGTTTTGTGTGGGATTTTTGTTTGTGTGGGATTATTTTTTTTTTCCCAAAACACTCACATAGGTGTATTTAAGATATTTATGTGGCCAAGCGCCAGTTACCTTTTAAAACTTTGGCTCACAGCTTCTTGATTCTCCATGCTGATGTGAAGCATATTTATTTTACAACTTTTTTTAAAAACTAACCTGCAAAATAGTTGAGAGTTGGGCTTTGATTAACCAAGATTAGGCTGTTATTCAAAATCTAATTAATATAGTAGTGGTAATATATTTGATTGGAGCTCTCTAGATAGCATACCATGTCTTTTTTGCTTCTTACTTTTGAAGTAGAAAATTTAAATGTAAAATTTTGGTCTGTGCTTTTATAGATTTAAGCAAGGACAGTTTATTTCTGCAGGGAAATTTAAATGTTATTTAAAGGGTTTTACCAAAGGAATATAACAATATTAAAATCTCTGTCTTAGTATTTCAACTTTTGGGCTCTCCATGCCACTCTTTCTGCCTAATTAAGGTGATATAAAAGGTTGGGAAAAGTGGTGTGGGTGATTTTTTTTTTTATTATTATTATTTTTTTATTTTTTTGTAGCTGTGCCGTGTCTGAGGCCTAGACACTTAGGGGACTTACTTTATTTTGTTTTCTTTTGCTGCTTTTTCTACATGGGGGGGGGGGAACGGGGGGAGTGAGAAATTGTAGTTCTGGTTTGTCCTTGAGAACCAAGAAAACCTAAAATATAGCCAGATGGAATGTTGCTCTTTGATGTGCTTCAGCTGAACTTAAAGAAGCCTGTATTAATGAATCTACATGTATCTTGTTTTCAGACTAAGTACTATAACTTGGTCTGCAGGTCCCCAGACCTCTTTTCCTTTCCAATCACCTCCTCCCAAGCGTAACTGTAGAATGGCATCTTGGTCACTATACATGTGGTTGGTGGTGGTGTGGGTTTTTTTTTGTTTTATTCCAATTAAATACAAGGGGCTTGTTAGAAAGATACGTTAACCTTGTCATTAATATTACCACATAGATAAAGCTGTAGATATTTGCTTTTTAAAACAGTAGCAAAAGAAGGAAGGATAATAGGGTGTCTTTCTTCCAGCACTGAGACGTTGGATGTGTTTGCCCATGAAGATGCAGTATATGGCCTTTCAGTGAGCCCAGTAAATGATAACATCTTTGCCAGTTCATCAGATGATGGCCGTGTTCTTATTTGGGACATCCGAGAATCTTCCCATGGAGGTAAGATCTCCAGATGGAAAGATCATTATTTTAGGAAGAATTTGGGATATGGGCAAGCCAGGGAATGCAAAAGCTATGTTTATCTGGACAATCAAAATGGGGAATGTTGGAGAAGGGTGAAAATGATGGATAATTCTTATGGACTGTAATAGGCAAGACCTGGTCTTTACCGTTCTCTGTTACTGTCTTGAAAGACTTCAAAAAGTACCTGCAAGTAGCCCCGGGTAGCATAGAACCTGGTATGGAATAGGTTTTAACTTGAGTTAAAGAAACAGTGGAGGACACGTTTCTTCAATAAAAACGTCTTGCTAAACTTTAAACCAATTAGGAATGTGGATTAGATGTTTATTTTAAAACACTGTTTTTGCATATAGCCTGAGATAAAAGTTTGTCTGGAAGTTTAGGAAGCTATTTTGATTGAAAAAACTTTCCAAAGCAAACTATGTATTTCCCTGTGACACTGGTAATTGTTCTTATGCATAATGTTTTCTGGTTCTCTTGTGAAGTGTGGACTCGAAATGAGAGAGCAAAATCAATTTATCTGACTGGGAAAAAAAAAGATTTCTTGCATTTATATGGAAACTTAGATCCTTTATGAGATAACAGGGAAGACGCTAAATTATTACTTCAATCTTTGTTTTCTAAATCGAAACACTTGCAATCTGGGTGGCTGTGGGGTTTTTTTTTGTTGTTGTCATTGTTTTTCTCCTGGAGAATTTCAGTTTAGAACTGTACTTATATTTTGGAGAGGAATACTTCAGTAACTGAATTTTAATCTACAATTATGTCAGGAATACTTCAGTAAATTAAGTTATGCATTCATCCCATCCTAAAGAACACAAAGCTGATAACTTAAAACTGAGCAGTCTGCGTGAGTACTGAATGTGGTTCCCTTCCAACATAGCTGAAATGGAGTTGCATCTCTTTTGTAAGCTGATTAAATGCAACTGCATCAATTCATAGGTTCTGTTGGTTTTACAGTAAAGTTGTTTGTGGCAATTTGTACACATTCATTAATGGATCAAAGTTGCAGTTTAACTGAATTAGCTTTTTTCCATATCTAGTGAGCTTGATAACATTTCTAGATTGCAATTCTATCCCTTTTTGCCTAGGAAACAAATGCTGAAACAAGACATAACTTCTAGTCTTTTAGCAATCTTTTAGCCCTTATGACACTAGTGGCTCCTATTGAACGAGCATGACCAGAACTAGGTCTGTCTTGATGACCCCCCACCCCAGAATACTCAGAGTGGATTGCTTATTGATACCTTCCTACATCAGGCATATTGCCTTTGTATAAATAAAAATTAAATCTAATAGCACTGCATTCAATTTTCAGTAGTCTTAAGTCTTAATGTGAATTTTGATTCTCTTGTGCAGTTGTGGTATGCTTTATCTCTGTCCCATCTGGTAATTTTATTAAAATATTAATACGTTCAAAAAAAAAAAACAGCGAACACGTTCAGTGTAGGTGTGAAACTGACTTTAATAAAAATGTCCATAATGCCTCTTCTCTGGATCAGTCCTTGAGAAACTCATTACTGACATTACTCTTGCTCAGAAGTCCCTTACTAGTACAGGGAACTATTGTCTTCCCGCCAGCCAGTTTCTTGCCTACCATGCAACTTCCAACTCCCTTTGCTAATCCCAGCTGCCTGTAGCTAAACTTTATACTATGCCACAAGTTAAATTAGTCCTGATTAGTTCTGCCACATTTCCCCTGAATAATAAGTTCACTACTTTTATCAAGGAAAGCGATCAAATTAATCTGATGTGATGATTCTATCTTTAGTAAATCCAAGTCTCATTTCAACCCTGTTTTTCTGTTTTCATAATATCCAAGTGATTAGACCAGACACTGAATAAATATGACTTCCAAATTAGAAATGGCAAAATGTTCACTTACGGCCTTCTCCTGAACTCTGCACCATAAAGATCTCTGTTAGGAGAGATACCTTTGGTGACTGGATGTCAACAGTTGGTGGAAATGTTCACTGCTTAAATGCATCTGTATGAACTTGTTCAGTATCCTAAGCTGATGTCCAATCTTATCAAAGCTTCTAAAATTATATAAAAAGATGCAATTAAACCTTGGTACTGCCTTACTAAGTCTTTGAATGAGAAGTCTGCACCAGTGAAAATAGGATGAAGAAGGTTTAGCTGTGGTACGTGTGGGGTTCTTTGGAGTAGTATTGTAGGCTCCCTGAATTCTAAACAAAGAGCTTTTGTACAGCTTATTTAGGATGGGAGCCCCAGGTCAGCATTTAGAGGTGAGCCCTGCCAGTATTTCCTACAGGAAGATGCCTGTCACTGGGGTAATCTCCTTGTCTGCAGTGGTGTTGTCATGGGAATGCACGCTGTGCATGCCAGTGTGAGTGTAGTTAGTTACACTGGCTAATACGTTAGGATCTTGCAAATAAGCTCCTGGTTCAAAATAGCGCATTACGTCCATCCCTGTGTTCCTCTGCTGAGTGACGTAAGCAGTCGCTTTTATAAACCTGCATTTAATTTACGGAAGAGACTCTGTTGAACTTTCCTTTGAGGAGCATTTTCGTCCCCTGGTGTTTAAGAGCTACAATTGTGAAATGAGCATAAAGAATAATAACAAAAGCAAGCCCCCTATTTTTCATTAGTGACTTTGTGCCTCATTAGTTTGGCTGCTGTAATCAGTCTTTAATTTGACAGACTGAAAGGCAACTTTCAAAATCTTAGAAGAACACTGTGATTCCGGGCTGTGTATAATACAGGTGTGAAGGAAGACACCAGTAATTAGTGACAATGACTTCACTAAGCAAGCATGCACAAATTTAAAGTTCAGTTTAAAATAACCAAACCAACTCATTTATTTGGCAATCATGTGTTGCTTCAGTCTCTACTCAGCTAATACGTGCCATTGCTTTCCAGTGGGGGCTGCCATTTTAGCAACATGTCAGCAGGGATCCAGTTTGGTGATGCTAATGTAGAAGGTCGGTGTTGATATTAAACCTTATTTGGAACTGCTATAAAACCAACAGCCATCTCCTGAAGTCTTTGAACAGGCTGGCAGAACAAAAGTTTGCTCCTGTTTTTCCCCTCACCTCTACCTCCTATGATATTAATAGCACCAGGGAGCTTCAGCTGTGGTCTGAGACCATTGTTTTGATGTCTGCTAAATGAATACTGAAAAGAAATGTCCCTGCCTTAAGCTTGTAATAAAGCAAGGGGAGGAAACAGATGGGGGCAGGACAGGTACGTATTAATTCTGTCTCAGTTGTTCGATAGGCAGTAGTTTCAGGTGTTGTGAATTTGAGAGTATTGTATGTCTTAATGAGGGATATGAGGAAAGAAAATGAAGGATGTTCGGAGGTGCTTGCAAGGCTAAAGGTGCCTGCACACAGTGTCCCAAACAAGGGCAGCAGCAGCCTCCCAGACACGTGAGCAATGCGGTGGTTGCATCAGTGAGTGGCGAAGTCTGGCATAATCTTGTTTCCTAGTTGCATGACAGAATGGCAGTGTGCCACGAAACATACACACCAGAGACTTCGGCTGTGCCTAAAGCCATAAAGCTAGCAGAAAGAGAGAGAAGGATGACAAAGTGAAGGCTCTTTCCCATTCTTCATGGAGGCAACATTGTGATGGAATGAATAGGGCAGGGTACCAGGCCAAGCACAGTCTTGCTTGTCTCATCCTAATCGAGATGAGAGGAAGAGAGCCTGGATGAGCATGTTTGTTTGTTTGTTTGTTTGTTTTTAACTGTGTGTATGAATAGCAAAAGGTAGCTGCTAATGTTTTTATGTAAGAGAAGCCCCCTTTCTTGCATACTTATACAGTTGCTGAATAACACTTTTAAGAGGCTTTGTTTTCCCCAGGGATGGTAGATTGCTTTTAGAGCTGAGTTCCATACAAGCTTCTCTCACTCTATGTAATAATATTCTCCAGTGTAAGCAGTCACTGCTACATTTACAGTTTGGATGATCATCAGTGGCTGTGGAGGCTTCAGACGTGGTCTTTGCTAGTAAGCCTTCAGAAGTCCTCCCTGTGGTCCTTATTAGATGACCATTTGGTCATGAACCATAAGAAAAGTCAAATATTTAACCTTTGCAAGTGCCTAGTTTTATACTCTGATAACCTTCCATAAGCAAAATGAAGTATTGAAATGCAGTTTCTGTCCTTTTCCATATTTAGGCAAAGTTAACGTACGTGTGGGTGGGTTCTAAAACTTCAGGTTTTTATATTGCTTTGGATGTGTCAGCTCTAGAAACGGTTTGAACATGTCTCCGTATCTTCAAATCTTGTTATGCTGTTTCCATATTAAGCTGCCAAACTCATTGCATCAAACAGTTGTACGCTTTGTTTGTTCTTATGTCTGAAATCACAACTTTTTCAACAGAGCCCTTCTGCTTGGCACACTACCCATCAGCCTTTCACAGTGTGATGTTTAATCCGGTAGAACCCAGATTGCTGGCTACAGCCAACTCTAAGGAAGGTGTGGGACTCTGGGATATTCGTAAACCTCAGAGGTAAGATCTGTCTCTCCTGGTCTTAGGCTGTGTGATTTCTTTCTCTTGAGAAGTGATGGCATGCCACTCCTTTTAAGTCAGAGCATGCAATGGGAAGAGAAGATGCAGAATCAAGTTAACAGCAATGTTAGTAATGCTGAATTAAATTATTTTGCATAATTACCCTTCTTTACACATACTATCTAATTTGATTCAAAGTGGGGCTAGATTTTTCCAGTGTTAAGGTAAGTGACATTGTGAAAGTCTGCTTGGCCGCACCACTGCAGGATGAAGACAGATGTCTTGATGTTGTCAAGATCTCATCATTACATGTAACATTTTTCTACTAAAACTGGAAAAAAACATGGTGGGGGCACCACCCCTTTTACAATTTTTTTTTTAAATTTTTTTTTTCTACCCAGCTTAGTTTTCAGTGGCTGGTCAAGTCTGCTTTTTACTCAGCATTTTATGACTTCCTAGATGGAGAGTCAGCTTGGCTAAATGATGTGCCCCCATGATTGCATAGGTTTTTAAACAAATTGACAACTTAAGAGATAAGTTTGCAGTACGGAGTGCTACTAACTGGACTGGGTTCTAAAATTTGCTTATGCAATGCCAGATACCAGAATTTTAAATGAATGTGAGGTTAAGCTTCTGTTGGAGCTTTTTCTTTTCTTTTTTTTTGTCTTTAAAGTTTTGAAAACAATTTCCTTTTTTCTTCATAACTATCAGAAAAAAAGTTGAACATTTCAAGAAAATGTTTATCCGTTTTATCTCCAGCTTTTATTTCCACATTTCCAGTTATAAATGGAAACAGAATAATTACAAAGGAAGTGAAAAGAGGAGGAAAGAGATAGTAGTTGTTTTATGATACAGTAGCCTCAGTTATTTAAAATCTTCCATAACATACACTCCCTTTATCTCGGAATTTCTCGGAATATTGAGAAGATGCATATCACTAAAAATACTTCTTGGCTTTGTATTGTACATACAGAAAAAAAACAATATCATTTGGAGTTAATTATAACTGGCTGAAAAAAAAAATCAAAATGTTTAAACATCCCCTATAATAGCAACCAAATTAGAATTTCAAGGGGGCTTATTATTCTTAAGTTGTAAACATTACTGGTTTGAATTGCCTTTTGCTTTTACATTTGAATTGGTATTTGCTTGCTGATGCTCATGGCTTTAGAACTCTCTCATGTTTGTAAATTTTGCCAGAGCCCTTGTTGGCAGCTGTTGTAAATTCTGCTATTGCATTTAGGATTGAATAAAATAAACCGGAAGGGAGTTAGAAGATAGCCTAGACACTTTCCTCTTATCCCTGTCAAACCCTTTGTGTAGGTCTTAGGAAGTAGCTTTCTGACAGCAAACTGTTCATCACTCCCCGAAGAGAAGGAGAGAAATTCAAGTTGTTAGGTTTATTTCTTTCTTAAAACAAAACAAAACCTTATTGTTTGTATCCATAAAGTTTCTATTATTTTAATTTGCATTCATGCTGTTTTTTTCCTTATGAACTAATATGCATAAACTTGGTGTCCTGTTTACAAGGTAGCTAGCTTTGTACTGTTCCTGGAACAGTACAAAGGATTTTTTTTGCTTGTGCCTCAACTTTGTGATTTAAGAACTTCCACAGGTTAAGGTTGCTCTCATTTTGAAGGGGAGTTATGCCAAAACACTTTTCTTCACACATTTGCTCTCAGAGTACAAACATAGAATTATGTTGGAATAGTGCTATAGCTTATGTTTAATAGAAATTATCCACAGATGCAAAATTTAGGTGAAGTCTTTCGTTTGGGCAGCAAAGTGAAATGGAATGATACACGTGACTGGAAAGGTTAAAGGGAATGGAGAGAGGAAGTACCTACTACAAAGGATGCAAGTATTGCCTCTGATAAATGCAGAAGCAGATCACTAGTGAAAGGAATTCTTCTCCCACAAATTGTAATAGCTGCTGTCTGATACTTTTGTTATTCTCGTTAAGACTTTGATTATCCAAAAGTTTCTCAGCTTAAATATTAAAAAGGGTTGATAAGTTATTGTTTGGGTGTGGTAGCACATGTCAGGTCATAGAAACCCTGAAGATCTCCTGTCTAGATGCTATCACGCCTTCTTCCTCAGTTTTAACTCCAAGGCGAAATGCTTGTTGGGGGCCATTGTGTGTGTGTGGGACGGTGTGTGCGCACACATTTAAGGACACAGATTTTACTTCTAGTGTGGCATTGTTCTTTCTAATGCCGAATACAAAATAGCTATAGCATAATTTCATTGGTAATGCTTCTTAGCAAGTGTTTTGTATTTCATCAGGTTTAGAACCAGTATGTGAATGACTTGATAACTTTTGATAAATCTGAATTCCAAAGTCTTTTCTTTAAATGATGAAAGGGGAAGGGAAAGGGTGCCTTATGTTATAACTTGACTGAAGGCCTTGAATGAATTCAATGGGTGGAAGCTTGTACACTTATCTGATGGACAAGAGCTACCCTCTTCTGGTTCTAATCTGATCAAAGTAAATCTTTCCAATTAAAAAGCTAAATAGTGGTGGTGAAACATCATACCTTGCAATAATAGTGCTGAAGTTCCTGGGTGGGTAGGCCACGCCACTTTTTCCATGTGTAAGGGAACGCTTACAACATCCTCACTGTACCGGTGGATGTGCACTGTGTATAACATGCAGCTGATCCTTAAGCACTGAAGTCTTACAGCATTTGCACCTATAAAGTAGGTGTGCTGCATGGTGTATAACAGGTACATGTTTTCTGCCTGCAGCCTGTTCCTCCTAGAGGGCTCAGAAACAGGAAAGAGAACAGTAAGGGACAACCCTGCCCCTCTTAGAGTAGATGATACTTAGAACCTCAGACTTGGGCTGAGGAAGCTGTAAGGTTAAATTAATGCAGATGAAAACAGTCTGCTTTCAGCTGTCACTTTCCAGGACAGCAATCAACTTTCTTCCTTGGCATGAGCAGAGGTATGCCCAAAGCATGGTAAAGAGGGTGCTTTTGGTGGTGGGATAGAAAATGGCCTAAAGCACTCTGGTGCTACTACAGTTTGTTACCAAGAAACTCTCAGGAAAGAGGAATTTTCAGAGTGAGATGTCTGTGTTGTGCTGGTGGGCTGCCAAAGCCAGAGTCAGTCAGATTTAACCAAATTAAACCAGAAGCATTAGCATCTTACTTTTTTCTAAGAGTTCCAAAGCATTTGTCAAAGCTTCCACTTGTCTTGAGAGATCTAGTTTAATGATCTGGAAATACATAACTTTACTTTCAACATATTTGAGGCCAATCCACTTCGTATTATAAGGAAACAATTCTATTAATGTATAGATCAGTTAAGATATAATCCTCGTTCCAAATGCTATGAAAAATGGAAAACAAACTTCAGGTTTTTGTCAGTGGGTTTTAGTTTTTTCTAGTGTCTTCCAGAGAAAACACATTGAATTTAAATATATTTGTATTTAAAAAAAAAAATCTCTTAAGAGTGAAATAATCCACATAGTGCTGTAAGTACAGTATTAAATAGACTTTACATAGTACTGAAGTTGGCATGTGAGTGAATTTCTGTCTGTTTTCCCTATTTGTATTAATACTAAAAAGATGCAAAGGATAGTTTCAGGTAAGATGTGTTCCAAAACCCTTTTGGCTGTTAAGAAATTTTATAGGGAGAAGACGTTAAAGAGCCTTGAGGTTCTCCATAATCTCGGGATAAACAGGAAGCTGCCTCTATAATTGCATGGCAGAACAGCAGCACAGCAAGGAGGGTAACCCCATCAGCTGCTTTTCTCATTGTCAAGGCTCTGCTAATGGTGGAAATTCTTGCTTCTCTGCGGGTTTCTTTCTTTGATGCTGTTATCGGGATCCAAGAAAATGTAACACTGTATGAGGTGTGAGAAGGATAAAAGGAATAGAGGCTTTGCTGGGATGCAGTGTAGAAGTATTAACTTGCTGGGATTGTTGAGTACAGCAGTATATAATGATAGTGTAAAATTGCTAGGTATATCTATCCCTTCCCATGACTATCTTCTTATTTCTATTCTGTGCATGAATCTCATTTGTGGGGGAATCTATTTTATGCTCCAAGCTGTTAAGGGAAATTCCATGTTTTTTCAGTACCAGATTAATCCTTCACAATACTGTGACCATTGTGGGAACATTTCAGTCCTATCCTATCCTTCTGCCTGTGGTGCTAGCAGAAATGACCTAGGCCAGGTAAACTTTGGGTGTTTTGCCCTAGTGTGTAGTAATGGGGTTATGATCAGAGGCTAAGTGGCTAAAAAGAAGGGGAGGAAGTGTACATACCTAGAAATTTGCTGCGGATTGCCAAAATAGTAACTTCCAGTGGCTTACGTATGTCTGTAGCACTCTGCTACAAGAAAGGTGTAATGGGTATAAGTAGTTAATTTGCTGCTAGTGAATCACTTCATTTAAACTGATGATGCAGCTCTCATTTCCCCAAACTACTGTTCCATCTGTCAGGTATCAGATGGAGGAGGGTTAAATTGATGCAGGCACTACTTGGTTTTCCTTATAACTACAGACTGTTCAGGGGAATCCTGCTGCTGCTCCCCTGCAAAATCCAGAAAGCAAATCAAAAGCCTGGAAGTCTGAACACCAGCTGTTTGGGGCCAGTAGTAGCACTGTAGCTAGCAACACCTTCACTTCGCATGTATTACAGCCAACAGCAGTGGCACAGGAATACTCTTCAGATATTCTTCAAACCAGGGGAGGTTTGTTGATCCCACAGGATTCAGCTGGCCTTCAGTCCTTGGAAGGGAATCAGGCTTAATGTAAAATTTCTGGTTTTAGTCTGCAAAGGCTCCTCAAGTGAGGTACAGTTTAATATTGATCAGTTAGATATGATGCATTGTCAGAAAAATAATGGTTTGCCATTAGCTTCATAACTTGTATGGTAGCTGATTAAAACTGCAGTCAGTTAGCTGTATTTTAACTAAAAGCTCTAAATTTGAAGGGGCATTGAATTTAATTGTCTCCAAAGGTCACCATTTCTGGAAGCTCAACTTGGTC